CGCGCAGACCTCTCCTGGCGTGTCCCTCTGCCTGTTCTGTTCCCCGCTCTGGCTCTGGTGAATTCCCTCACCCTCCCGCGCTTCTGACTGTACCCAGTGCTTGTATAAATAAATAAATAAATCTTTAAAAAAAAAAAAATAAAGTATGGTAATGGTTAAATGTCACTTAAATGCCAAGTGTATGCATAGTTTTAATATAGGTATTTAATGTTCTCAGCTTTCTTTGCAATTTTCAAGCATGGGGGAAGATTATTCCATCAGTGTCACATCTATAGTCACTATTAAAATGCTGATTTTTGTCAACAATTTGGACATTTGGCCTTTAGTGGTTGATTTTGTTGAAATTTTATATTTTCCTCAAAAGATATTATTTGGTGGAAGGAATTTTTTTTTAAAAAAGATTTATTTATGCATAAAAGAGCTGGGGTACAGGCCAGAGGTGTGGGTGGTGAGAGGATTCACCAGAGACTGTAGGGAACAGAAGAGGCAGATTGACCGAAGTACTCTGCTGAGGGGAGCAGTGGGCAAATCAGGAGAGATCTGCTGCTCCATGTGGGTTGCCTCCCTGGCTGCAGTGGCTGCGGATTGCTTCATAGGTTGAGTCTTAACCCTTGCGCCACCAGGAAGGCCCCAAGATTTTTTTTTAAAGATTTGTTTATTCATGCATACAAGAACCGGGGTACAGGCCAAATGCACGGGAGGGTGAGAGAACTCACCAGAGACAGAGCGGGGAGCAGAACAGGCAGAGTGACTGAAATATACTGCTGAGGGGAGCAGCGGGCGAGACAGGAGAGGTCTGCTGCACCATAGGGATTCTTGCGGGCCGGCTGGGATTGAACAGGCACTGCAGAGGCTGCAGAGAGCTTCACAGCGCTGTGCTCAACTGCCTGCGCTACCAGGGGAGTCCCTGGAAGGATTTTTTTTTGTTTTTCCCACCAGCTACAAATTACTTATTTTGAAATCAGATTCTTCATCTGATAAAGAAATGTGAAATGTGAAGAAATTTTTTCTTTTAAAAATTCGGCAGTTTGGATTATAGGTAGTTGTTAAACCAAAAGTCATTACTGTCATTTGTTGGTCATTGCAACTATTCCGATAACTTGGTCAGAAATGGGCTTTGATCTGGAAGCTTCAAACAATAGCAAGCTTTCTCAAATTTCATGTTCTGAGAACTGGCTTCAAGACAAACTTCTTTTTTCTCAAAAAATTTTAGTTCCACCATTGATGTAATCCTTGTAATGTTTTGAAGGGCTTTCCCACCAACCCCGTTTCCTGAATCTTGACAGTAGCACCATGAGTTAGGATAACTGTTATTTTTATATGAAAGAAAATTAAGACATCATGAAGCTAAGAGACGTAATGCAGGCTGTATATAGAAGCTATTCAATTTTCTGTTTTGGCCTATAGCTTCAGACTTTCTGCTTTGGACCGTGTACTAGAAACACAGAGCTTTTTGACTTGTGGAAATATCTTACTTTACAATTCCATAGCATTTGTAGCTTTTTCCTCAAGGAGTATATTGTCAAAAGCACTCATCAACAACATAAACAAAAGGTTTTTCTTTCTTCCCTGTGAACTGCTGACAGTAGTTGTGGGATTTTTAAGTCTGACACTGGTCCTGCTTTTCTATGTTCTGGGCTGTTTTTAAGGAGGAGCTGTGAAGTGGTGACTCCCAAAAGGGTGGGGTCTCTGTGGGAGCGCTCTCCCCCTTCATTATTAGAAAGTACTTCACACATAAAGGACTGTTTATGGGTATTAATTTAAATAGCCACAACAACCTTTTTGAATTAGGCATAACTTTATTTTCCCTGTTAGAGAGAAGGGGAAGGGTGTGACACAGATTCTCTTGCCCAGTGTCTCATAGCAAGTGAGTGATGGCACTGAGATATGAAGCCAGGCTTTCTGGTTCCAGAGTTTGTGCTCTTATCCTATCTTCTATGTATGTTGCCTTAAACTGGTTAAAAAACAGACAACCCAAAAACCAGGACAGGTAGTACATTTTATTGGGGGAGGGGGCAGTATTTCACATTTGCTAACTCCATATTTAGCTATTGCTACTCCACTTTAAGAAAACTCAACAGTAAAGTTTTTATGTCAATAATTATTGATAACAACAATAATAGTAGCTATCTTTTATAAGATGCTTACTGCATGTCAGTCACTGTGGTAGATGATTTGATTGTTCAAATTCCTTTCTGTAATGGGAACCCTGTTGTATCTTTTGAAGGCGATACAGTCATAGAGAAGGGAGTCAGAGCAGCTTGCTTGTGTCATCCCTAGATTATGCCTTCAATATTTCTTATTGGGAACCTTGACAAGCTTGAAATAGTTGACATTTTCCCCCCAGCATTCAATCTCTTGAACAATTGATGAGTTCTGCCAAGTAAATTGTGAGCAGTAGTAGCATATTTATCATTATACCAACCTTAAATTTAAGCATTTTTTCCAAGTTATGATTATCTTGCTTTGTGAAAATCATGAAAATGTTAACATAGCTCAATGCTTTGCTCAGCAGATGGCGTATCTATAAAATTTTTGAGGATCCTTTGGAATCAGTCACTAGCCAATGATTAAGTCTTATTTTGGAATATCCTATATTTCTAGTTAATATTGAATCATTTACCTGAAGATAATGTGCCAGAATTGCTGTCATCTATGCTGTTATAATCAAATCTACCTGCTATAGATGCAGACTTTATTTTTGTTAATTGTTTACTGCTAAGTGCTTTAAAGAAAAATAATTCCTTCTTTTTTGGTTATAATCGCTAAGAAAATAAAGTTGCAAGCACAGGCTATGTGGGACCTCTTGGAGAGTAAGGCCTGCATGTTTTTAGTTTAAAGTCTTACTCCCTGCTCTTAAGGTGTGGTAACATGGTAGTGAGAGTCACAGACTATTAACTATGTGAACTGATTACTTTTTGCTCTCATACTATGTATTTTTTATGTTATGTTTACAGGTACAGTGCAAACATAATGATTAGTTATATGCAATATTAAAATCATATGAAGTAAAGATAAGATTTAGGGAAGAGCACGGTGGCACTGGTTTTTGTTAGCAAATCAACATGACATCGAGTCATATTCTGAACACACCATATTTTTATTTCTCTAGCTTCATGTCATAGCATCTAACTAATAATAGGTGCTTTAAGAAGATGTTTGTTGCTTGAAATGAATAATTTTGTTTGCAACACAACAGAGGGGGCTAGAGGGAAGACACTAGAATGAAAATGTCAGAAATGTTAAATGTTTCAAAAGGTTTTAGACTAGGAAAATTCCAGAGACCTATTAAAGAGACAGTAGATACATAGTTGAATCATCAGGCACTCTTATACCTTGGAAAAAAATGTGAAAACAATTTCCCATCATTTTACTTGTTTTCTGCCACCTGGCTGTGCCTCCTGTTATAGGACTACTATAAGACATGTCCTTTAAGGTAAAACAGAAGTGTTGTTAAACAAAGTTGCAACAATCACAAGATCACAGTTACTAAAGAGTACTACTTGGCTTCCTTCCTGGAGTGAACAAGTGTTGATATGTAGATGCCAGTATTTCCTTGGAAGACATATTTTATGAAAAGCCTAATATGAATTTTTTCCCTTTTTTAACCTTTGAAAATAAAACTGTGAAGTATTTTTGGAATCTTTTACAGGGTTAATTTTGGCATTCATACTGTAAAAGGCAAAGGCTTATTTAACACTGGTTTTTAGAAAAATGAATATATAGAAATAAGGTGAGGATGACCAGTATGTGAAAATATTCACCTTTCTTGTTATTTAAAATTAGTCTACTCATATATTGGAGACATAGAAGTAACCAAAATTATAGGATAAAGTCTCTCTACCGCCCAGGATAACAATAAAAGTCCAATTGTAAGATGGATTGATGTTATCGCCTAATAGCTGAAACTGTCAGGTCTCTTTATGAAAGTGCCTGTAACTCCTATCTGTAGTGTCTGATCATCCAGTGATGTCAGCTGAACTGTTGAAAAATTCTATTGAAAGAGCATTTAGATTGATGGTCTTATCCAGGAATTTCCTTACAGTAAGCTCTTTTGGTCTGATTTCAGCAAATAGAGAAGTGTTCAGTGTGACTCTTTGGTAGGAGATTCATCACGGCAGTCCAATATCAGGCTGTCAGCACACAGTAGTGTCATTTGTACTAAAATGTAGAAACATTTTATTCAATGTTGTACCCCAAGTTCCTTGCACAGTGCCTCTTAGGTATTGTTTCATAAATATTTGTTGAAAAAATAAATGATTGACTTATGTATTAACATATCCTTAATGTCAAGGCCTTAGAACTTTTTCCCTTTTCTTGACAACTAGAAAGTGTGCTCAATCTGAGCGCACAGTCCAAGTTTTGTTAGTAGTAGCTATACTTCTGCTGTTTTATCCCCTCCATATAAAGAATAGGTACCCTAAGAAACTCTGGAGCCCCCAGATTTGGACTGTGTCTAATTTCCTCATTAGGACATATTGCTAGTTTTAAGGGATCCAATATCATTTCTCCAGGAGGAGGCAGCCAGAGAACAAAATGAATACTTTACATACTCCTTTTCAAAATGTGAGTAGGTGAGGCTTAATTCAAAATGTTTGTGGGCTTTCAAAAGAACTGAAGGAAGACAACTTGAATGATATGGCAAGTCATTTTGTAGTACATTTTGTGTAATTTTTAATTGTGCTTTGGACTAGGCAGAACTGTCATCACTGTTGATATGTATTGGGGCATTTGTGTGTATGTTTGTGGTTCAGGGAACATAGTAATCTGCAAAGTAGTCAGCACTTGGGAACTAGGTACACAAAATTGAGGTAAAGAAAGAGGAAAGAGAACCAGGCATCTCAACATCATGGGAATGGAGTAAGGCGGGAGAACATTTTTGTTTAAATTAATGTGCCTAAATAAGGGTTTTTAAAAAAAAAATTTGTATTCAGAGAGCTCTTAAAATTATTTCATGAGACAGATTCTCTAACTTCACCATGTCTTTTTTCTTACCTCAGCTATTCCAAAGACCGAATGCACTTGCTGTCCAGCAATTGACAGCTGCTCAGCAACAGCAATATGCACTAGCAGCTGCGCATCAACCTCATATTGGTAAGTTCCTAAGTCTATAGTTCCCTTATTATAGGTGTTGCCGCTATGTTATGATAGCTGGCTATTGTGAAATCTATTGGCGTACACTGATGATGCAAGTTTGGACAAATCCCTCAAAGTAAATGACCTCGTCTTCTCATCCAGTGGTCTCTAGCCACATTTCTTATTTTGTCTATACCGTCTAGACCTCAACTCATGATTTCTTAGTATCCAGGTATTGCTCTACCACCATCGTTTCAATATTTACAGTGCTGACTAGTAGTGATTAGTAGAAACTCTTGTGGTAAGATTAGATGAAATTGGTTAAGTAACGGTTTTGACCTTGGGCTTGAATAGGCTAATATATCAACGTTTCATTTTATTAAGTAGCAAGTAGCACTATAAATCCATTTCCAAGCAGTTTATGTATTGATATTTTTTGAAAGTGTGTTCATACAATTAAAGTAGCTCTGCCCATTTCCTAGAGCAGTTAAGTTTTGACTAAATTGTTATTTTTTTGTTTGTTTTATTGCCGCCTCCCGCCTTGAAACAAAGCATTCCAAGTGTAAACGAGTACAACCAGAATTTTTTTTTTAAATGTGTCAAAGCATCAACAGAAAGGAGAGTGCCAGTCATAGATTGTGGTATCCTATGGAAGAAAAGACTGCTTCCAACATAGATTAATTAAGGCCTGGGATATATTGTCTGTGGTCTGGTATTTTATAATTGTAGATGGTAGCCTTTATAAACAGCATGTATTTTCTTTGAGGGAAACTGTTCGTAAAATCTTTTAGAAATTTTGCTGTATCACAAGCCATATAAGCAATTTTAATTCTTTAGTAAAGTTTAATAAAAGATCATAGGTAAGTAATACCATAATCTTTAGTTACAGGGATTATGTTATCTTTTAAAAATTTCTCTTTACTCTCAACCTATACTAGCTTGTCTGTTTTCTTTATAGCCCAGAATGTAGAGCTAAACTGTGCAGGTATTTGGTAGGGGCTGCAGTTTTAGTCAAGTTTGTTTTTACTGACAGGTATGTTTTCAGCAGGTATAGCTCCCGCTGCATTTGTCCCCAATCCATACATCATCAGCGCTGCTCCCCCAGGGACGGACCCCTACACAGCTGGATTGGCTGCAGCAGCGACACTAGGTGAGATATTTTGCTTTATGAAGGATTTTTTCACCTGCTAAAAGGTGGTTTGAGATTGGCACACATTCTATATTACTCTTTCCCTAATCTTTGTCTCTAGTGGAAATTTTGCTCCTGATTTCCAGTGTCATCTACCTGCCAACTGAATATCTCTGCTTAACTATAACCTCAGACCTGAACATGTCCAAAGGCAAATTAATCAGCTACCTCGTATATAGGTATTTTTGATCTATGGAGCCACCATTTGCGCGCTTATTTATTCATACATTCATTTATGCATTCATTCATTCATTCATTCATTCATTCATTTTAAGGATTTATTCATTTATTTATACAAGTACTGGGTACAGTCAGAAGCGCGGGAGGGTGAGAGCATTCTCCAGAGCCAGAGCAGGGAACAGAACAGGCAGACTGACGAAAAAATACACTGCTGAGGGGAGCAGCGGGCATGGCAGGAGAGGTCTGTCGTGCCATGTGGGACCCTTGACGGTGGCCGGGGATCGAACCAGCGCTGCAGAGGCTGCGGGCACCTTTGCAGCCCAGCGCTCAGCCGCTGCACCACCAGGGGAGGCTCTGCTCATGTATTTATTTTGGACCTTTCTTCCCTTGCTCATGTCTTTCTGCTACCTTTTATCTACCACAGCCTAGATCCTTATACTCGATATCTAGAATTTTGCAGCTGTTCTCCCATACATATATCTGATTTGCTTGGTTCGATCTCCTGCTGTGCTCCCTTAAATTGTTCAAGAAAATGATTTCAAACAAAAATCTTACCCTTCTGTTTAAACCCTTTATTGATGTCCGACTTACCCATTTAAATATAGTATACTGCCTTTATTATCAGACATGGGTTAACTCTTACAGCTTATTTGGGTAGTGGGTATGATGTATTCCTCAAAATTGGTATTTTTTTTAGGACCTGCCATGTTCCAAGGATTAGTGAGGATTAGTACTCACTTATCTCTCCATAGTTTGTACATAGTCTACATTTGCACCATTTTCCCTCCAGATTGACTGCTATTGGCTTTTCTTATATATTCTAACAATATTAAACTGATTTTTTTTTAGCTTGCTGCAGATTAAATGCTGGCTTAGGCCTCTTTTTCTTTGGGCATTTTATCTGCTTAGTCTTCTGTAGTAAGTTCTTTCCGTTCTGTGTCTGGGAATCTCCTTAGCTGGCATAGTCACCTCTAAAAAGCCTTCTTTGCTGACCCTCTTTCTCTATTATTTTTATTGGTTTGTGTTAATTTGCTTGTGGATGTATGCATATTTTATTTCTTCCCCTTGAGATTGAACTTTAAAGATAAGCATTTTGTTATTTGACTCTGTGTGGCTGTAGCACAGTTGCTTTCACCATGGTGGGGTCATAAATGTAGGTTGAATTCAGCATTAGAACAAACTAAATGTCTTCAAATATACATATATTGTTTGGGGAAGATCCTTTTAAGTCATGTTAATAATCACTAAATATTGTGAGAAGTCAGTTCTTATTATATAGCATACAGTTTGCAGTTTTGAACTCAAATGATGCAGTATAGAACTTCTTACTATTTCCATAGACTTGTTCACCTTTTGGTGTGTATTGTGATGGGAACATATGTAGTATATAGTTCCTTGCTCTCCTCACCTTTGCAGGAAATAGCTATTCTAGCAGAATGAACATTGCTAACTACCATTAGTAATTTATTAAACTTTTTTAACTGTTTACTAGGCATTGTGCTGAGGACTTTATTTTTTCCCCCATGTGAATTGTTGGGTGATGAAAGTAAGGATTAGGGATTGGGGAAGGGGATCTGAGAACTCTCTTGTTTGAGGTCACACAATTCAGATTTGGGGTTTGAGCCATGTCTAACTCAAAGCCTATAGATGCACCTCACACGCTGTAATGTATAGTTTACCTTGAATCATCTTTTCTATATTTTCTTTTCTCTGCTAACTTATTGCATGTCTGAAATAAAGAGGTAGTCTTAGGCATGACACACTTGTCCTTAATGAGATCATAGTTTGGAGATGAGAATCTTGGGTTTTGTAATCATTAGGTGAACCAGACTGAAAATGACTTAAGAGCTTTCAAACAGAACAGGAAATGTTAACTATCTAAACTATGAGACTGTTCTTATGGGGTGTTAGTAACACAGAAATTGAAGTAGACATCCTGATGAGCCAAGTTCAAGTAATGATGCATCTTTTGAGTATTTTCCTAAACTCAGTCATAGGCCTTGTGAACCGAGTAAAGTAGTGGAAATGCCATTGAGAAAATATAAAGGGTACTATAAATGGTGGTGGTAAGAGTAGTCTGCCCAGTAGAGGTTGCTTTATTGTCTTTCTGGAGCCTTGGGACTATCACTGGAGGTTGTAACGCCACCTTTCAAGGTAGATGGTAACCCCTTAACAGCTGTTACATCCATTTTGCAGAGTCTTCATTGTGTTGTTTTCTCTTTCACTCTTTGCTTTAACTGTTCATGACCATTCCACTTTATAAACATTGGTCAGATGAGTTTGGGGACCCATTTTCATTTTGAAGGTATGTCTTTTAGAATATTAACTAACAATTTTTCTAAGCAGCACTTCATTTCCCACCCAGATAGCAGGAACGCTTATAAATAGCTTCTAATCTTCGTTAAGTCTACAGGCACAGAAAATAGAATATGTTTTTATTGTCATTGTTAGGTTCTTGGGAACTGACCTAAAACACCATTTTGACTATAGACTAATTGATATGAGTAAGAGTCAGGTTCCTACAGCATGTTTTTGGTCACAAAAACATCATCAGACTTCTAAGTAAGGATCCAAACATTTTTAGTATTTAACAATAATTTGTATTCATTCATTTTCCAAGCCACTTATTGAAGGTCAGGGTCACCCCTTCTTGCAAGGTGGGAATCAACCCTGTACACAATAGCCTTTCTATCACAGGTCACAGGGCAAACACCCCCTCTTAGGATATTCAGGAAATCAAAGTGTTAGGTTTTTTGTTTCTCTCTTTTCAACTTTGGCTTTAATTTAAAATTTCATGTCAGTGTCCAAATGTGGTTCTGGTGAATGACTTTTTCAACCTCAAAAATAGATACAGGAAGACCAAGCCTCTTGAAAATTGAACAATAGAGTGCCTGGATTTTGTTTTCAGAAGACTTGATTGATTTTCATCTTTCTAGAGTTAAAGAATCACTAGGATTCCTGTCCCTGTGAATCACATTAGGTGCCATCTTTACTATTGAAAGCAGGGTACAACTGAATCTTTTGTTCTGTTCTATCACTTAGAGCACACAAACTCTCCATTTATTTCCTTCTAACAACACGCTTTGTCTACATCTGTCCTTTCTTTCTCAGGGAAAAAATATATCTTCCTTTCTGTCCAAGGCCAGTTCTGCCTTCTGTTCTTAAACCCACCCTTTCCAATTTCTGTCTGTTAATCTACATCTGAATATCTGTGAGTTTGGTCTTTCACTAGCTGCTTTGCCTATTCCTGCTGGTGTTAATGACTTTGGAAGACTTTAGTATGGGGATCTTATATTTTCTGTTTTCCAAAAAGAATTAATGATTATCTAAAATGAATCAATATATCCTTAAGTTAATGTTTTGCATTAAGATCTGTTGAGTCAGATGTAGTTTTGGGAAACCCTAAGATTATTCTTACTAGTTTAAACTTTTCTTAATCTTCTCTTGCTGTTTTTAGGCCCTGCTGTGGTCCCTCACCAGTATTATGGAGTTACTCCCTGGGGAGTCTACCCTGCCAGTCTTTTTCAGCAGCAAGCTGCCGCTGCTGCAGCAGCAACTAATTCTGCTAATCAGCAGACCACCCCACAGGCTCAGCAAGGGCAACAGCAGGTAAATGTAAAGAATTTATCACCATCTAAGTGTGAATTTTAGTTGTTGTATACAATTTAAAAGTATGATTGCTTCTAGTAGAAAACATTGCAAAAAAGGGTGAGTTCTTTCTCCAATGTTTGTATCTGAGTTCAGACTTAGACTTATTAAACTGTGCTTACTGAATACCTTTTATGTGTCAAGTCCTTTGTCAGTGTAACTACTTAAGGCAATGCAGTAAACAATTTGCATATGAAAAACTGCTTTGAGAATTGTCCTATGTAGGGCATGTAGCTATTAGCAAGTGGCAAAGTGAGTATTCAAAGTGATAGAAAAATTTTTTTCTGCCATGCTCTAGTTACCTGCTAAGCACCATTCTCAGATCATGTCTAACTCTGTTACAAGTAGCTTGCCACCATAGGAGACATGGCAGTTCTCAGATTGCTTATTAAAACATTGAATAGGTGGGATAGAAATCTTATACCTTTTACAAACTTAGAGTAATAAGAGCTTTTTAATTGAGTTGGGAAAGGAGCAAAACTAAGTATGTATTTTTTATTTTTATTAAGGTGAAGTTTTTTCTTCATTGTATTTTTCAGGTTTAAACCTCTATAATGTATGTTTTCACACCATGCCTACTACCATAACCCCAGTAATCTTCATCGTGGTCCTTAGGGCCCATCCCTGTCCTGCTTCCACCCCACCGCCCTTTCCTTCTGGTTGCCTCCGTTTTGCAGTTAGCTGTCAGGGGGTTATTTTGGTTTGGTTTTGTCTGACTGTTAGTATTTCTCTGTTGTGTTTTATTTTAAATAAGCCATTTTTTTCCTGCCTACTAGAATTAATTCCTATTTATTGATTAAAATTGTGATAATTTGGAAACTTAAAAAAAAATCATCTTTAAGTCCTCATGTCGGGAGAAAACAAAAATGTTTCTAATCTGTCATTCTATCCATATTAATTAATTCTTGTTGGGATTATTCTGCCCACTTAGTGTAGCATCTTTTTTTCCTCTTTCCTATGTTATTTAAAGTTCTTTTAAAAGACATTTTCTAGCTATATTTCATTCCATTCAAGAGCATCCCATACTTTTCTTTGACTAGTTCGTTGTTATATGACATTTAACTTAGCAATATTTTGGTGCTATAAATAAAACTAATTAATATCCTTTGCATAAGTCCATAATTATTTCCATGGAATAAATTCCTAGAGATGCAAATAAAATGTAACATTTACACTTGTTATACATCATCAGATAAAAGTTGTCTCTTGAGACAAACTCATATATGCACATATGATGTGATTCAAGCAGGAATCCTTTGCTTTTTCATCAGTCTCCTTAAGAAGAGAATGTATGTTTAATTTTTTTAGATTCCACAAAATCATAGGAAAAACACAGGTCTAACTAATTTATTCTCGTTCAGTATTTTTATTGTACGATTTTATTTTAGAAGCTAATACGCACTTTTATTTTTGTAGTAGATAGAGTTCTATTGCCATGTATGTAAGAGAATTCAGGAAATAATTTATTGACAGAATCAATAATTCTTGTTAGTAAATTTCTTAGTAGTTACTCTGGATAGTCTGTATTTATTTGTGTGATGATTTTTATTTTTAAATGGCTGCCTGCCAATTCATTGTGGATTTGGGCAACTAAAGTAGTTGCCATGTTTTGAAAGAAGCTGTGATAAAGTGAACAAGGAAAATAGTAATAAGTATGTCCTATCAAAATCTGTTTAAATCTAAGTGCTTTGCCTATTTTTTTCCCTTACACTAATTTTGATAGATTTGGAAATGAAATGAAAGTTGTATGCATAATGCATAGGTTCACATAAATTAGAAGATTTGAACACAAGTATATAATCTCACAATTTATGCTGCCTTCCTTCCTTCCTTCCTTCCTTCCTTCCTTCCTTCCTTCCTTCCTTCCTTCTTCCTTCCTTCCTTCCTTCCTTCCTCCTCCTCCTCCCTCCCTCCCTCCTCCCTCCCTCCTCCTCCCTCCCTCCTCCCTCCCTCCCTCCCTCCCTCCCTCCCTCCCTCCCTCCCTCCCACTAGGGCATGATGCATATCTTGTAAGTGCAGATTCCTTAGGGGTAGTATGATGATCATTTGTATTTGTGAGTGTTCCATCATCACAATTACAAACCCTACTATAAAAATGGATAGTTTTTCCTGGATCAACTCCTTTGTCATAGTCATTTTATCACAAAGCGTTTGTTCTAGGTGTGTTAACTATATTCTAGTTGCTGGAACAATTAGTGGAGTCACTGACATTCCCACCACCTCATCTTCTCATTTCTGTTTCAGCCTTCTCCAGGGCCCCTTTAACATCTGATAAAAATTTCATTCTTTTCTGTTTCAAAATGACTAGGGAAAAGGGAAAGAAAAAAAAATGTCCTGAGTACTGGGTTTAAGCTTCGTCATAATTTGGTATTGGATAATACATTTTGAGAGATGAGAGTTTACAATGGCTCCTGAGCTTTCTACATGATGGTGAACTGTAGAGAACTATAGAGCATGATGAACTATAGAGAAATGAATGACTATTAAATTAAAATAATCAATTAAAAGATTGGTTGCTTTCAAATTCTGCATGTAAATAAGTGCTTTTTTTTTTTTTAAAGATTTATTTATTTATGCATACAAGAACCGTGGTATAGGGCCTCCCCTGGTGGTGCAGGTGGTGCAGCACCACGCTTTGGAGCTGTCCGCAGCCTCTGCAGTGCCGGTTCTATCCCGGCCAGCCAGCGAGGGTCCCACATGGCACAGCAGACCTCTCCTGTTGCGCCCTCTACTCCCCTCAGCAGTGTATTTCGTCAGTCTGCCTGTTCTGTTCTGGTAAATCTGTCTCTGGTGAATCTGCTCACTCTCCTGCGCATCTGGACTATACCCCAGTTCTTGTATGTATGTATAAATCAATCAATAAATCAATCAATCTTTTCTTTAAAAAAAAAAAACAAAAAAAAAACAGGCAGACTGACCGAAATACACTGCTAGGGGAGCAATGGGTGAGCCAGGAGAGGTCTGCTGCGTCATGTGGGTGTCTCCCTGGCCTGGCATTGAACTCGTGCTGCAGTGGCTGCGGAAGCCTCATAGGTTGTGTCTCAACCCCTTGTGCCACCAGGGAGGCCCCTGCTTTTGAGAAGAAATGTGAATTTAACAGTTCCTGCATTGTGAAGATAGGTGGATTAGTGCTTTGCAAATAGATGCTTGGTCTGTTTTTGTTGATTTTACTAGATTTTAAGATGTTACATGGGAAATTTTATATATTTATTTCCATAAAATCCAGACTTGACAACTATTGACGAAATTAAAATTTGTGAATACTAGTGACTAAACCTAAGATCTTGGATTTATACTCAAGGTGCACCCCACAGATTTTTAGAGAACAGATAAAATGGAGGTATCCTGCTTACTCATTTATTAAAATGGGACTCAGTAACTCTCTTGATGCCGCATTCTTTAGACACGTTGCCCACTCCCCTGCCTCCTGTCCTTTCACATAGTTCTTAAATAGCAATTTTGAACAATTGATGTTTGCCATATGTCTATACATGCTATTTACATTTCCTGGAGAGCTCTTCTGGGATATTGTTGTGCATCTTCTAAGTCTTGGCACAGACACTCACCTGTGCAGCTCCCTTGACTCTTCTGAGTAGATTGAAGTACTTCTCATTTTCTTTTGTTTAGATTCTTTAGAAATAAGTTGTCTAATATTTTGATATTAGTAGTAGTTGTTGGTTATTAATTTCTGCTCGGTACCATATATTGCACATTAGAGGCATTAATTCTGATACTCCCAACAAATCTGTAAGATCAGTTATTTCTGTAACTGCTTTTACAGATAAGGAAATAAGAGATTTTGGGTAAGTTAATGTTCACAAATCTTATCTTGCAAATATGGTGTTGTTCACCTTATGCTCATTTAATAAATATTTAATTGATTGTTAGTTGGTGGTGTTTTTATTCTACATTTTTAACCAAGTGCTAATAATATGTACTAGGTTTCTGACCATGTCATCCATAAATGAGAGTGCTAGTGAAGAGAATTTGATAAGAACTTTGCCTTACAAAAATTGCAAAGTGCATTGTTTATAAACTTTGGTAATTTTAGCCTTGGGCTGTGGATTTTGCATTTTCCCGTGCTAGAATATATCGATTTTATAAAATAGATTCTTCAGAGCTTATGGAATAAGAACGGTTACCAGCATCTTGATGCCTTTGTTTTATTAATAAATGTAAATAAAATTTATTAGTAATATTTTTTATTTATTTAAATAAATAAAACAATAAATCAATAAATAAATTTCTATAAATGTATCACAGGGGCAGAACTGGTATTCTGCACTGAAGTGTCAATGTTCTTGACAAATACTCATCTCTATTTAGATTGCTTTATATTTATGGAATTTATGAATGGAGAAATAGAAACATCAAGACCCAGACGAGCTTACCAGAAACAACCTAAATAAAATCTGGTGACCTCATTTGGGCCTTGATGAATGGGAATAGTATTATAGGTAGAGAGAATGTTCTCATATTCCATTAAGAGAATATAGCTTCTTTTGTATCCTTTTTTTTTAAGTGACACAGATGTTTTGACTTAATCACGCAGCCAAATTACCCCTATTAGTCCTATCTAAGTACCCTCTCCCCTCCATCATATTGTTCTTAATCCACTTTATGACAGAGTGCTGATATTATAGAGTTACCATTTATTATCTGTCTTATTCATAGGAAAAAAGGCTGCAAGAGGGCAGGGACTGTGTCTTGGTCTTGCTTTATTCTAGTACTTGGCAGATAGTGAGAATTGAGTGTTTAATGAGTGACTCATCATTTTTATATTCTTTTGAATGCTTACAGAGATAATGTGTTAAAACTAAGAATGGTAGGATGAAACTTTACTATTTGAAATGTTCTCCCATCGAAATACTAGCCAGGTCTGACCATGTTTAGTTGCTGAGATAAGACCAGATTGGGCATGTTCAAGGTGGTATGGACGTAGACTTCACTATTTGAAATGTTAATTGAATTTTTCTCCTATCAGCCATGTCATATAAAACCATAATAGGAAAAATGATTTTTAACCTTTGATTTTTAAAAGCTTGCTAGACTTTAGCACATGGTGGTCAATCTTAGATATTTCCAATGAGAAGAAAAGTACTTGATATATTTTTGTCTCCCAGGTTCTTCGCGGAGGAGCCAACCAGCGTCCTTTGACCCCAAATCAGAACCAGCAGGGACAGCAAACAGATCCACTTGTGGCAGCTGCAGCAGTGAATTCTGCCCTTGCTTTTGGACAAGGACTGGCTGCAGGCATGCCAGGTGAGACCGCATTGTTGTTCTTGATACTTGAAGGAAGAAAATGTCTGCTTGTTGGGGGGGATTCAAAGGAGAAATGGGTAGTGCTTTTAGCTTGTTTAGGCTTATGATGACTTGACTGGCAAGGATGACATTTACTTGCCCTCACTGAGATCATAGTTCACTGATGAGAGCACTAATTGTTCTGAGCCAGTCTTAATCTTTTATGTTGGAGATATTTGAATCTCCACACATTCTACACGGAATGTGCTGTTTCCCTTTGACACATCATCTGTTATCTCCTTCTAGATAAGGGGTAGTCAGGGTACCTAGCATCACTCTAAAGACTTTAGTCTTTACACTGATCCCCCCCCAGGGTCGGACGATCTTCCTTTAATACAAAGTCGATATATCTACATACACAGAGGTGGGAAACCGCCGGCTGCTTCCACTCGAATCAACATTTACACTGATTTTTTTAAAGATTGATTTATTTATGCTTCCAAAAACTGGAGTACAGGCCAGAGATGCAGGGGGTGAGAGGACTCATCAGAAACAGAGTGGGGAACAGAACAGCCAGACTGACTGAAATACACTGCTGAGGGGAGCAGTGGGCAAGTCAGGAGAGGTCTGCCTTGCCATGTGGGTTGCTCCCTGGCTGGCCAGGGATCGAACTCGTGCTGCAGAGGCTGCAGATTGCTTCATAGTGCGGTGCTTAACCCCTTGTGCCACCAGGGAGGCCCTTACACTGATTTTTTTTAAACAGTATATTAGGTAGAAATTTCCTGATATTCTTGTATAGTCATCCCTTACATATCTAGGATTTCTCCTGAACCAGTAGTAAGGGGTCTTTGTAGCTACCTACATATGATTGATATGTATTTTGACATACTGTCACTTGATCCTGTTCTTTGCATGGATTGGATGTAGTTTGAGAGTCTTGCTTTGAAATAGGTCCTCAGCATAAGTTAATGGATCCTTACTGACTGGAGCATAGCCAAATTAACTGATCCATTTATGAGTTCAGTGAGTAACATCATTTATTTTGATAGTTATAACATGTACATTTAATTGGGAAGTCGCTTGTGATTTCTCACTATTCAATAGGATCTCGAAATGGCATCTCATAAGATATTTAAAAGATCCTACTAACTGAAACCTGTCTACGTTTTTCCTGCTAAGTTGTAGATGTTTGTGCTTAGGTTATGTGACATGGAAGATCTGTGATTTTAATTATTTGTATTCTCTTTTACTTGTGTAGTCAAGAAAACAACACAAGAATTTCTGTGTATGATGACTGGTGATAACCTTGATTAGCACTTTCAAGAGCATAGGTATTCCCTATCTTGCCAAATTTCCTTTCTCACACTGTGGATGATACACTGTCTTTTGTTTTGCACTTACTGTGTGCCAGATGTCAGGCCAGCTCTTTCATATTCATCTTTTAACTTAATCTTCACAGAACTTTGTAAGCAGGTATTGGTTGGTTGGTTTGTTTTCTTATTTTACAGATGAGGAAACAGCTAACTAGAGATTCAGGGTCTTATTACTATTCTCTAAGTGGTGAATTCAGGATCTAAATCTTGGTCTGTCTAGCCCCAAAATTGAGTTTGTGACTATTTATAATATTCTGGTGCCCAGAAGACCATTGTTAGTTTCAAATATATATATTCTCACATGTTGGCTTGATATTCCCAGGTTATCCGGTGCTGGCTCCTGCTGCTTACTATGACCAAACAGGTGCACTTGTGGTGAATGCAGGAGCAAGAAATGGTCTAGGAGCTCCTGTTCGACTTGTGGCTCCTGCCCCAGTCATCATTAGTTCCTCAGCTGCACAAGCAGGTGAGTGTACACCTTAATGGACTCACATCAGAGATATAAAAGGAGCAACAGGTGATGTTCTTAAAATAGGTTGAAATAGACTTCACCTGGCAATTCTCAATATAGCAATTCTGCCCTGTAATAACTTCAAAGAGAACCAGAGCAACCACAATGGATTCTAATTCTGTTGGTTGCAAGTATCAGCTGACTAGTAGCAAGGAACCATTCCACTGAAAACATAGGAAGTTGGACTACTCACATAAGTGGCACTCTTGCCAGAAATCTCTGCTATTCTTTTCAGATAATGTATGCTTTTATTTTTATTTTTTTTGGCGGGGCTAGGGGCAGGTAGACATGGAGGAAGTGAGAGGGAGTGGTGAAAAGTGCCAGAGTAATAAATTGTTTGGGGAGATAATAGGTTTTTATTTTAAGCTTTATATACTTCTGTCTATTTTTAATGAGGAACAATAGTGCGAACATCTAGAACAGAGCAGCATTACTGCACAGTCTTAGGAATTTGAGATTTTAAGAAGTAGTCATATTTAAACTTGAATGCATTTGATATCTATAGCTGTTTTAAACTGTAAACTCTTTAAAAGCAGCTAACATAGAAACTTGCTCCAGTGGTATTTTGACTTCAAATTGAAAGTAGAAATAGAACGTAGAAGCTTCTATAAAGGAATCAAAGATAGATTTGTCCTGTTTACAAGGTTTGTATCTGCTTTCAAAAAACATGGCAGCTTTAAAAGATTTTCATAAAAGGATAGCAATATAGCTTGTAAATGTGGCCAGTTCCCTTCATAGCCAATTGGTTTGCTTTCTTCATAGCTGTTGCAGCGGCCGCAGCTTCAGCAAATGGAGCAGCTGGTGGTCTTGCTGGAACAACAAATGGACCATTTCGCCCTTTAGGAACCCAGCAGCCTCAGCCCCAACCCCAGCAGCAGCCCAATAACAACCTGGCATCCAGCTCTTTCTATGGCAACAACTCTCTGAGCAGCAATTCGCAGAGCAGCTCCCTCTTCTCCCAGGGCTCTGCCCAGCCTGCCAACACATCCTTGGGATTTGGAAGTAGCAGTTCTCTCGGCGCTACCCTGGGATCAGCCCTTGGAGGGTTTGGAACAGCAGGTAGAAATCAGACTGATGTGCTCTTAAAACTGAATTTTAATTGTTTTTGCAATCTTTATGGAACACTGACAATGCATGGAACCTTGAACAGATACCACAGACAGATCTGGACTGAGCCCCATGGGAATGCAGCCATCCCACAGATCTTTGAGATGGTGGACTATTGAAATCAGTGACATAGTTGGGGCCTATTTCAGGTTTACGCTCATGTTGCTATTTGTTTACACTTTCATAGTTTGATTGAAGGAATGGAAAACCTGGGGAGGCTTTTGCAGGCATTGGGAAGAACACAGAGGGAAATATAGAAATGTGGATGCTAAAAATAGAGGGAAGTGAGCAAAGATAACAGCATAGTGTACTCCACATCCAGGACTGAGTTGAGTGGGTGCCTTAAAGAATCAGTTTTCTCCAGTCTTTTGAAAAGAATTAAGGTGAATCTGGTGGAAAAGTGGAGAAAGGATATTGGAACAAGATATATTTAATGTTTCGATGGGGGAAAAGAGCAGGAAAGTAGTGAGGTGAGCATTAGGATAATTGCTTTTTTGTAAAACAATGTGATCGCAAAATAGAAGGGCATGTTTGAAAGTATCAAATTGGAATTGGGTACTAGTAATACTTCTGAATTGAATCCATTGAGGCTTTCATATTTAAGTCTTGTGGAGTCTGCAGGCCAGTTAACCCATTTACAAATCTTTTTTTTTCTCTACTCCATTTTCCACTGGAACCTTTGGGTTGATGAAAGGCATTCTTTCTAGCCCATTTTCTTTCACCTTTTCCATAGCTTATGTGACTGTCGGCTTTTGAACCTTCCCCTACACTGTAATATATGACACAAAAGGAAGGTAAATTTAGCAAGTGATGTTTTGAGCTAAAATTTCATGTTAACCTGAGCCATGTCCTCTTTATTACTTTCCCTGTCCATAGAACTGCCACATGAACAGTTAGGCTGTCTCTGCTGACAAATTTGCGGTGGTAAGGAGTCTGGATCAAAGTGTTAGGAACAGGTCACTGGGCTTGTTCTTCGAAGAACAGGCCTGTTCTTATCTGCATTGTTTTAATTCCATTTTAGTTGCAAACTCCAACACTGGCAGTGGCTCCCGCCGTGACTCCCTGACTGGCAGCAGTGACCTTTATAAGAGGACATCGAGCAGCTTGACCCCCATTGGACACAGTTTTTATAACGGCCTTAGCTTTTCCTCCTCTCCTGGACCCGTGGGCATGCCTCTCCCTAGTCAGGGACCAGGACATTCACAGACACCACCTCCTTCCCTCTCTTCACATGGATCCTCTTCAAGCTTAAACCTGGGTAAGAACCATTACTCTAACACCACCTTGAACTCAAGTCTCTTGCCACTGATGACATTAGAAGCACTTTGCATAAGCAAAGGACAATCCCTTTATCCTAGAAGTATCCTGTACCTTCCTAAAAGTAATTCATGTTACTTAGGTTGTACCTTAGATAGCAAAGAAATTTTGGATTTATTGAAATTTGGGTGCAGTCCCTGTATATCCACTTCAGATTTAGTATGACCATCTTGTTCTTTGGCTACTTGTGAGGGTCTTTCATTATAAACAAAGCACAGGTTCATTTTAAATAAAGCTGCGAGATACCAACAGATAAAGAACATAGTATCACTGAAATACCACAATTAATATTTTTGCCTCATTTTTCAGACTCCTCGTCCCCATGTATACGTTGAGTATCTTTTACACATAATGCATCTGATCTTGTCAGCTTCTTTAAAAAAGTTTGTATGTACATTCTTAGACTACATCAATAGTTTGCTAATGAATAGACAGGTGTTTCCCACTTATACATTTAGGTTGTTAAAGATACAGGATATTTAAACATTGTCATCAAGATCTTTGAAAATGAGGAGGGAAGAGAGGATTCTAGATTAGATTATTAGATCCTAACCAGTAGATGAGAATGAAAAACTTGTAATAGCACTTTGGGTGGCAAAATTCCTGTCTTTCAAGATATGGGAGATATTTTCTTATCTCAGAAACTTGGTATACACTCCCTTTTCCCAATTGCTTATTGAGTTTGGATTTGAATATTGATTTATTTCATAGTTGGGAAAATTTGAGGCAAAGAAGTAGTGATATAAAATTTATGCAAGCTGGGACACTTTTAAGAGTAAGTGGTAGAGTCATTAATAATAACGCTGTGATCACAGACCTAGATCAAGATTTTCCTAGGAAAAATCATGCATGGCTGCTTGATCTAGAATAATCAGGGTATTTAAATCCTGCATATTAAAAATATTTCTAATTAAAACAAATTTTGGAGTAGCTTTAGATTCAGAGCAATATTTGGGAGCAGGTATAGAGATTTCTTCTTAACATCTGCCCCATACACACATAGCCTACCTAGTTACCAGAATTCCTTACCTGAGTGGTCCATTCATTACAGTTGCTGAGTCTTCACTGACACATGATTATCAGCTGAAGTCAGTAGTTTACATGGACTTATGTCACTTAACAATCAAAATTAAAAATGAATTTATGGTTTTAGGAATGAGAACTTACTTAAAGACAAATGCCATGCTTTCATTTAGAAAGACAAAAAATGGGAAATTATTTTTAAAATTAAAAGTCTTGCTGCTGGATAGGTAATATATTCTAGAACTAAGAATTTTGTCTGCGTTTGAATGACATGAGTTTTAAGGCAAAACATTGTGTGTGTATATAGACATTTATGTGTGTATAGCCTAAAATTTCACATGGTAAGAACGTAGTAGTAGAATTCATTGTCTCAGTTTACATATGGACATTGCTTTAGAAAAGTTGTAGGGACTCTACATAATGATGGAAAGGAAAATGGGATACTTTGTACTGCAGTGCTTTCTAGTGACAGAGTACCTGACTTTACACACTGAGGATTAATGGAAAACTTGAAGGGATTAGAGAAAAGTTTCAATGTAGTATGTATTGATAGATGGGAGGAATTAATATTTGTTGTGTAGTTATTACCTGCTACTGTTAATGGTTTTGGGGGCTGTACATACACACCAGGAAGGTGTAAGTATTGTGCGAAAGTGAGGAAACTGACTTAAATACCTTATCTGGGTTTTCTCATTTCTGTACAGATTTATAATCAGTCCTCTTTTACTCTAGAACACGTGGTATCAGCATATAGCCTATCACATGATATGCCTGGAATATTGCTTAAACTAGTACATTATCAGATCCAGAAATCTTACCTTTTAATTGTTTAAACATTTGTGTCATCTTACACTGAATACTTAACAAACAAGCTCTGCAAAAATTCTTTTTGTAAATAGTCAGATAGTACATATTTAACTTTGATAGTCAGGATGGTCTTTGTAGAGAATGTTCAACTCTGCTGTTGAAGTGCAAACAGCAACAGGCAAGATGTAAATGAATGAATGAAGCTATTTTCCAATGAAACATTGATTTATAAAAATAGGTGGCAGGCCAGATTTGTCCTGTGGGCTGTAGCTTGTCTACCTCACAATTTTAATAAATGCTGTGGTTCTTGGTGTTTGAAAATGGAGCTGGAAACATTTGCATGCATGGTGCCTTTCCTCTTTCCAATATATCAACCATTCAATGAAATATTTCCTTCTTAATTCATGTTTCCACTATGAAGTAGGAAATAACTATTGATGTGAGTTACTTATTTTAATGACTTGCTGTCTGCCTAGTTTTATTCCTAACATACCTTTCCTTTAAAGAAAAATTACCTTCTTCAGCAATTTACATGTGTGTATTTACATTGGCCTCCTGTCACTGCATGCACTCCTTAAGCCATACAACTATCCAGAGGAGGAATTTTGTGTTATGAGCAGTAGCTTTGCCTCACTGCCTCACTTCCCTCTGTTTCCTTGGGCGGTGGGTTCTTGTTTTAGTCTTTTGTTTTAATTGAGAAGCTTTAATCTTAACTTAGATTAAATAGATATGTGGTACTTGGTTTGTAATAGTGTTTATAGAAAGACCCTAAAGACATTTTGGTGCAAGTAACCTATTACTTCTTTGTCAGATATTTATTAGACCACGTAATAACGGCTGCTTCTGTTAACATTGCTTCACTACCAATACCAGCCATCAGTTTTTTTTTTTTTTTTTTAAATCAGGTTTTATTTACTCAACATTCATTTCCATAATTACATAATTTCTGGAGTATAGCTTTAGAGTAAGAGGATACTAAAGACAACACTGATTCAATTAAATTGTTTAGGTGATTGTTTGCCTTTTTTTTTTTTTTTTAATTTTATTGTTATATTCCCCATACAATTGCAGCCCCCCCATTCTGACCCCAATCCCTCCCCTCCCACCCCCGCCCCCCTAAAAGTGTCTCTGGTTCATAGTTTTTTGTTGATTTTGATTTTCACTTTCTTATAGTTATTCATTTTCCTGGTCCCTTATTTAAGTTTTCTAGATTCCTGCTATGAGTGAGACCATCCGATATTTTTCTTTTTCTTTTTGGCTTATTTCGCTGAGCATGATCCCTTCCAGCGCCATCCATGTTGCTGCAAATTGCATGTGTTTATCTTTTTTGAATGCTGAGTAATATTCCATGGTATATATGTACCACATCTTCTTGATCCAGTCATCTATTTTTGGGCATTTGGGTTGTTTCCAAAGCTTAGCTATTGTAAACAGTGCTGCTATAAACATAGGGGTGCAGGTGTTCTTTGGAATTGATGTTTCTGTGTCCTTTGGGTAAATACCTAGGAGTGGAATTGCTGGATCATATGGAAGCTCTATGTTTAGTAGGTCCAGAAATCTCCATACAGCTTTCCACAGTGGTTGGACCAGTTTGCACTCCCACCAACAGTGCAGAAGAGTTCCTTTTTCTCCACACCCTCGCCAACATTTGTTGTTGCTAGTTTTTTTAATATGTGCCATTCTCACTGGTGTAAGATGGTATCTCATGGTAGTTTTGATTTGCATTTCCCTGATGACAAGTGATGTTGAACATTTTTTCATATGCCTGTTGGCCATTTGCATTTCCTCTTCAGAGAAGTTTCTTTTAAGCTCTTCTGCCCATTTTTTGACTGGATTATTTTCTTTGTTGTTGTTGAGTCTCATCAGCTCTTTGCAGATTTTTGTGATCAGTCCTTTATCATTAGTGTTGGGTGCAAAAATGTTCTCCCAGTTCAGCCATCAGTTTTTGAGTCACTAAAAGCCATCCTTACAGCATAAAACAGTAGCATTCATTATGTTACATAGTCAAATAATTTTACACACTCAGTGTGGTTTAATGACTTTCATAATATGACATGGCCAGTGAATGCCTGAACGCACATTCCAGTTTCTATCTCTGTTATCTGTATGTGGATCTTTTCTCCATATCATTTTCACACACTCTTTCAGTAGTCACACATGTATGTTAGGATACTCTGGAGGAAAAAAAATATCAGTGACTTCATTTTTAATTCAGCGGTTACATGTTTGAGTTCCTACCTAAAATTTTTCAATGCTTTTTTCATTACCCATTGTTTAAAGACCAAATTTCTTTAAAACAAAACCCCAAAATTTTATTGAGTTATATCTTATATGTCATAAAATTCACCTATTTTAAGTGTATAGTTCAGTGACTTTTAGTTTTCTAATTTGTGCAATTATCAAATCAATTGTAGAATCTTTACATCCCCTGATCAGGTAAAATATCTCTTGACTATTTACAGTTAATCTCCATTTCTACCCATGGCCCCATTTGGCCACTAGTTTATTTTCTGTTTTAAATTTGCCTCTTCTGGACATTTCATGTCATGGAACCTTGTAATATGTGGCCTTTTTCATTGGGCTTCTGTACTTAACGCATGGTTTTGAAATTATCCATTATGTAATGTGTGTCAGTGGTTTGTTCTTTTCTGCTTCTGAACAGTGTTCCGTTTTATTGATATACCACATTTTCCTAACCACTCACGATATGAGCATCTTTTGGTGATAGTGTTTGTCTGTTAGAAATAACAAACATTTGCATGCATGTCTTTCTACATGTTTTCATTTCTTTAAGAAATACAGTTGCTGAGTTGTACATTAGTTTTATGTTAAACTTCTTGAGAAACTGCAAACCTGTTTAAGTTGGTGCTTCATTTTATATTCCCACCACTAATGTGTAAGGATTCCGGTTTCTCTACCATCACCCATTTTGTTTTTTAAATTGAGGTATAATTGACATTATTTTCAGGTGTATAACATTTGTATGTATTACCAACATTTGTTTATATATGCCAAGTGATCACTAGAGTTAAGTCCAGTTAATAACTTATTCTGAGGTACAGCATTTTTTTGAGTGTGGCATGACATGAGATCTCTTAAAGTTTTCTCTTAGCAACTTTCAAATATGGATTACAGTTATCTGTAGTTGCCATATTGTACTTTAGACTTTGTGAATCACTTTATTTGTAGCTTTTTATTCTCTTTATTCATTGTACCCAGGGTGCACCCATGTGCAAATCTCACCCCCGCAAAAAAAAAAAAAAAAAAAAAAAAAAAGGTAAACCATGAATCTATTCTCCAAATCTAAAAGCTTGGTTGGGTGGTAGTGTTTTTTTTAAATGATTCTACATGTAGGTGAGTCATATGGTATTTTGTTTTTCTCTGACTTAGCATTTGTTCTTATATGGCTTATTTAATATAGCTGTTTTGGTAGACTTGAAATACAACATCATTATGGTTTTAATTTCCACTTGTGGCTAGTGATGTTGGGCATCTTTTCATGTGCTTATTAACCATTTGTGTAACTTGGTGAGATGGCTACTCATTTTTTGCTCATATTTCCATTGTGATATTTGTTGTCTTACAGAGCTGTAAGAGTTTGTTATATATTCTGTATACTAGTAGCTAATTAAATATGTGTTTTGCATATATCTGCTGGTCTTTCACGTCTTTGCATTTTTTAAATAATGTCTTTTGAAATACATTAGTTACTCATTTTGGTGAGATCCAGTTTATCACTTTTGGTATAGAAATTCTTTGTCCAACTCACATCTTAATTTTTCTTCAATGTTTTAAAATTTTTATTGTTCTAGATCTTACAGCTAAGCTTATGATCCAGTTTGAGTTAATTTTTGTACATTATATGAGGTGATGAATCATCTCATTTTGCTCCAGCAAAGTTTTGGTATTTTCAGTCAAAAACTAAACTTTCTGAGTTTCATACATCTTTTAATTTGTTCCTACATACTTTTACTATGTTACTGTGAATAAAAATGTATTTTATTTTTGGGTTGTTTGTTTATAGATATATAATTGATTTTTGCATATTGATTTTACATTCTACAAGTAAACTGTACTTACATATTCTAATAGTTTTGGATGGATTCCTTAGAATTTTTTGTATATATAGGATCATGTCATCTGTAAATAAAGAGGGTTTTTATATTTCATATTCATACAGTATATGTTTTGGGATGTTAATCCAATCTGACATTGGAGGGGTAAGTCGCTTGGTTTGCTAATTCTTTTTTTAAAAAAATTATTATGCATACAAGAACTGGGGTACAGGCCAGAGGTGTAGGGGGTGACAGGATTCACCAGAGACAGAGTGGGAAACAGAACAGGCAGATCTACTGAGATACACTGCTGAGGGTAGCAGTGGCAAGACAGGAGAGGTCTGCTGAACCATGTGGGTCACCTCCCTGCCTGGGGATCAAACTCGTGCTGCAATGGCTGCAGATAGCTTCATAATGCTGCATCTTAACCCAGTGCGTCACCAGGGAGGCCCCATTTCTTGAGGAATTTTTTTTATCTCTGTTCAAAGTCAGTTTCCTTTCTTGTGATGTCTTTGAATTATTATCAAGGTGAAATATTGCTCTTATAATGCATGTTGGAAAATGTACAACTCCTCTGTTTTCTGAAAGAGTTTATGGAGTGTTGTATTATTTCTTTAAATGTATGATAAAATTTAGCAAAAGCCATCCTGATCCAGCTGTTTACATGTGAGATTTTTTTTTTTACTTACATCAAGTTCTTTATGTCTTACAGTTCCATATCCTCCTTTTCTTTTTTCTTTCTTTCTTTCTTTTTTTTTTTAACGATTTATTCATTTACACAAGCACTGGGTACAGTCAGAAGCGTGAGAGGGCGAGAGAATTCACCGGAGCCAGAGCAGGGAACAGAACAGGCAGACCCATGAAATACACTGCTGAGGGGAGCAGCGGGCACGGCAGGAGAGGTCTGCACACCTCGTGGGACCCTCACTGGCGGGTGGGGCTTAGCTGCTGCGTCACTGGGGAGGCCCCCTCCTTTTTTTTTTAATCAAGGCTCATCATTTTGTCACTTTATAGGAATTTGTCCATTTCCTCTTAAGTTGTCAAACTTGTTGGCATATAACAGTATTTTTTTTTTCCTTCAAAATATGGTATCTTCTTTCTTTCCTCTGTCAAATCTCCTCATTTCATCCATAAATATATATATACACATCCATATGCATGTTTAGTAGTATAAATAAAATTTCTTATGGCGCCAAGCAAGGCAAATTTTACAAATATTTATTTTGTTTGGCTTAAGTGTGTTATATTTTTCATATAGCAGTATTAATATAATCATGTGATTATTATTAACAACTAGATCCGTAATCCTCACTTGTGGCTTACGTAGGCTATCCACTTTCAAATATAACACACTTAACTCTCTTACTGCTCTCTCGTCTTGCTTGCATATTTTTTGAGAGTTTGGATGCAATTTTTGTCTTGTTCTTCTGTTCTTTCTCTGTTCTTTCCTTGGTATTCTATATTTGAAAATGACATGTGGAGGTGTAGGTTTATGGGCATTTATCCTTCTTGATGTCCTCTGAGCTTCCTGGATCCATGGTTTGGTGCCTGGCATTAATTTGGGGAAATTTTTTGGTCATTGTTTCACGCTTTTTTTGGGTACTCCCATTGTGTGTATTTTATACCTTTTATACTTGCTTGCAGTCCTTGGATAATCTGTTCTGATTTTTCTGAGTTATTGTTCTTTTTCCGTTTTGGTGTTTGTGCATTCCGTCAGTGTATCCTCTGTCTCAGAGATTCTTCACTCAGCCATGTGCAGTCTGCTAATAAGCACATCACAGGCATTCTCCCTTGAAGGTTTTTTCTCTGTAGTATTTCTAGTTGGTTCTTAGGATTTCCATCTCTCTCCACTTACAATCTCTATTGTGTGCTGTTTACTTAGCATATTAATCATAGTTGGTTTAAACTTTTGATCTGATAGTTAAGCATCCCTGGCGTGTATATTTCTGATGCTTGCTCTTCAAAGGTGTAGTATTTGCTCTTTTGGATATACCTTGTAATTACTTTTTAATGGTTAGATTTGATGTATCAGGTTAAAGAAATGGCTGTAAATAGACTTTTATAGTAAGTTGGTGAGAGCGGGGGAGGGGGTGAGAAACATTCTCTGGTCCTATGATTAGGTTTCAGTCTTAGAGCTTATTCTTCTGGACTTTCAATTTCACAAGTGTTTCTCTTTCCATGGGACAGGGTGGTTTGAGTGGTTTGCTTAAAATATAATTTAAGAAAATTATATTTTAAGCAAAATTCTACTGTAAGTAGTGGTTTAAACCTGATCTCTTTCCTTAAAGAAATATTTTCCATTTGGATTAAGAAATACGTTGTAATTTCACAAGAACAGCAATAACCTTTAGAATCAGAAAAATTGATTTAACTGGGTATGAAAATGAATCTTCTGTAGTATGAAGGCACTGATTCTTGTGTCAAGAATCGTGTGACAAATATTGGTCATGATAATTTTGGATTTCATATCTCTGGACAAGAATGTCATCTTTTTGGACCTTAATTTCCTTTTACATAAATAAATTTTCATTTTTAAAAAATGCCAGTGAGAATTCAGTAGGAAGTGTATGTGAAATACATAGAGCTTTGGTATAGGCCAAGTGCTTAGTAAATGTTTTCCAAATTTTAACAATGAGTCATTTCCTTCTGGTTCTGTCTCTCTCATTGAGACTTAGACAACTGAAGCTGGGCCCTAGAATTCTGTGGAGAAATTCAAACTAGGTATCTTTTTGTATTACCATTAAGCTGCAACCCAGACATTCATTCAGACTCATGAGTTTCCTTATGGATTCTGAGTTGTTGTTATTCATCTGTGCTGTGGTTTATGGGGTGCTTCTTACCTCCTTGTTGGGGGAATAAAACCCACACAATAAAGGCTTTCTATTCTTTTTATAGTATAATTTAATTTTTTTAAAAAATGTTTGGTAAAAAATAAGAATATTGAAAATATATACTCATAATTTATTACTCTGTTTTATATTTAGATAAGCCTTTTGGTTTTATGTCTATAATTATACTTCACAATTCATATTTCCTTATTATCAGTTAAAACAGCAATATCCAGTGGCATGAAAGTTGTTTGCAGTCATTTTAGACACTGCCCTGATGAAGTACTTGAAATGTTCCATTTTAAAGCTTATCTTCTTTTTTTCCTACCTCTTAATTGCCTCCATTCTAAATTAGTAAACAAGCCATTCCTTCAAAGATAGTGTTTTGGAGGGGGGAGGAGTTCACTGTATAAATCTAGACTAATTTGGGCACCTGAATTTTTTTTTAGAGTTTTAATGGAAATGGGGATTATTTTCGAGTGGCGAAAATATTCACAGAGCTCGGAATGGAAAACCATTGAAATCTCTGTGCATTTCATGTTTTCTGATACCTGGTGCTTAAGTGCTGGTTCACATGCCAGACATTTTCCTCATCATTTTATTTACTGAAGGCTACACTGTTGCTCCACTGTTATTAGCTGTCTCCTACTAGTGGTTAAAAGCATTTCCCTCTCAATTTTTGTGCAAAAGTTTCCTTTAAGTTTGGTGAGTTGGCCTTGTGAAGATTGTGACACAAATAGAATTGACTTAACACAAAGCAACAGAATTGAAAAGAAATCAGAGGTGATGCCGGCTTTCATGTGTGGGGGATGCTATTGCCTCTGTTAAGACACTGCTGTTGTGTAATCAACAGGAGGACTCACAAATGGCAGTGGAAGATACATCTCTGCTGCCCCAGGTGCTGAAGCCAAGTACCGCAGCGCGAGCAGTGCCTCCAGCCTCTTCAGCCCCAGCAGCACCCTCTTTTCTTCCTCTCGCTTGCGATACGGAATGTCTGATGTTATGCCCTCTGGCAGGAGCAGGCTTTTGGAAGATTTTCGAAATAATCGGTACCCCAATTTACAACTGCGGGAGATTGCCGGGCATATAATGGAATTTTCCCAAGACCAGCATGGGTCCAGGTGAGGACTTAGCTTTGGCATTTAAGGTAACTGAAAATTTAATGCTTTAATTTCTGTACCTCAGATAAGGTAAACACTAAGTGAATTGCCATGTGATAACTGAAGCACAGCTTGTCTTTTAATATGATGCCGACAGAGGGCTGTAGATATGAGGGCTACCAGATATATAAGTAATTGAAACAAGCTATCTAATAGTCTGGATCACATGGTTAAAACAAAGCTTTTACCTTACTGAAGTCTGGTGCTCCTGATTCATGAGAATTTCTCAGGATGCCCACAAATTAAGAAACAGAAACACAAAGAGACATAAATTTTTGCCACTTTAATCATTATTGAGAATCTTGCTCTCAGAGACACTGAGCAAATAAGTGTTTGGATTTCTGGTGCTCAGGAGTAAGAAAACTCCACAGCTTTTCTTATTCTGTTCTGTAGAAGGGAGAGTCTGAATAGAGGTGAGAGAAGTGGCTACTACAAGAGACAGAATTGAACCTTCCCTGTTATAGTGCTCCAGTGGGCTTCACAAAAAGGAATCCTGGTCCTGGGGAAAAGGCACAATTGTGGTTGAATCATTCATTCTTTCCTATTTGTCTCTACTTCTCTCTCTCTCTCTCTCTCTCTCTCTCTCCACAAACAGCTCCTTTATGTTCCTCTTTATGTTCTGCCCGCTTGCTAATTGGGCAAGGATTTCTTACACTTGCATCCTACAGACCAGATTCAGAAATAACAGTTTTTTCAGTATATTCATCTGCACTGAAAAGAGGCAGATTGAGTAGCTGCTGCCTCAAAAGATGATACAAACATTTATAACATGGAGTTTCGTTTCACATCATTAATGAGGAGTGCTTCATAAGAATATGAGTTCAAAATTATAGTAAGGGCCCTGAACTTGGAGTTTATAGATGTGGTACTTAGTTTCTTAAAAACAGAAGTCAGGTTTTCCCTGTGTCATGTTTACCTTCATTCCCTCCTCTTTTCCTGACCCTTTTCCTTTTCCCTTTTTATGCCTCATGTAATGCATTTGTGTACACGTATCCTATGTAATGAAAAAGCCTAAACTTTAAATTTATGTTTAAAAGCTCAGTTAGGTTAAGGGATACTTCACACTATGGAAGTTTTTTCCTTTTTAGAAATTCTTCAATTAAGTGAGCCAGTGATTCAGTTAAACAACATATACACAGAGAGACTGAGTTTCAAAACTGATACATTATATGAATAGAGCTAACTAACCTTTATTCCCGTTTTCCTAAAATGCTATGATTGTCCCTTTTGATTTGTACTTCAGATTCATTCAGCTGAAACTCGAGCGTGCCACACCAGCTGAGCGCCAGCTTGTTTTCAATGAGATCCTCCAGGCGGCTTACCAGCTAATGGTGGATGTATTTGGAAATTATGTCATTCAGAAATTCTTTGAAGTAAGACTTTATACTTTCTATCCTTTCACTATAGAGAATCTCCAGAGCATTTTAATTTTTGTTAACTTTTTAGAATTTCGGTGCCTTTCCAGTCCTAGAATGAAGTGTGTGTGGTGTTTTTAAATAAGTTTTTGATGTTTCCCTAATTCATTAGCAGCAGTATATCATTTAAATACCCAAGTAGATAAGTCCATCATTTTGGAAATGTGTTTGGAGAACTACTTAGGATCTAGCACATTATTTCTGATTGTTAACAATAGTTTCACTAATATGTCAATTTTGGAGGAAATAATTCTTATAAGGTAATTTTAGTAGGAAGGATCACAATAAAATGTTTTGGAAATGAATTATTTTGAGACAGGGTGGGGGAGGGTTTTGGGGCGGGAGAGGGTTCCTAGAAAATTATCTTAAACACCAACTCAAGTAGTTTTCATCATAAACTGTAGTGATGAGCATTGCTAAATACTTCTTGGGTGATCCTTTATACTTGGTTCCTTATTTTACCTCTGTTAATTTGAATAGTTGTCTGGTCCTTGTCTTTGGAACGGATTAATGAAATTGTTCTATTAATGTCTTTTGCCCTATTAAAGTAAATGTCAGAAAGATAAGATTTTTTTTTGTTTTGTTTTGTTTACCATTGTTGACCCTATGTACTGGTGTCAACCACCCCAAATTATAAGTCCAGAAAGGAATGAAGCATTGAGAGGAAGAATCTGAAAAAGGAGGAAATGCTGTAACTCTGTACATTACCTGCTGCCAAACAAAAGATATTTGTGTGAATATAGAGTATGGTATAGTGTAGTGTAATATAGTATAATATGGTTTACTATAATACAATATAAAAATAAAAATGGCTCACTAGTAACCTTCCTCTTCTCAGTTTTTTGCATGAAGACTTGAATCATTTGAATTCTCCATCTACAGATTAAGAAACTAACCTAAATATGATTCTTGTATTGTTGATCTTACAATGTCTTTTTCACTGTGATTTTGTTGGAGATGTAAAAATACAGAAATGCCCAGCTTCAGGGGTTAACAGAGCTAGGGTGGCAGAATGAAGAGTAAATTACAGCCATGTGAATGGAGACAAGCTAGAGAACTTGCCTGATTTAGGGAACGTCCCTGGACCTTAATCCCTTAGGTCAGAAATGAATAGGTTGGGAAAGCTGATTATTCATAAAGTCTCCTCCAGTCCAGGATTAAGCTGTTCAAATGAAAATATAAAAGCCAGGCATAGAAAACTGGTCTATGGAGGTTTTTAACATTATCATAGTTAACATTATCTCCTGATTTTCATTCTGCTAACTTTCCCCCCTGGTTCTGTTGTCTGATATGAAGAGACAATATCACATTGTTGGAATGATGTAGGACACTAATTTATGTGCTTCAGCTTAAACTTCATATAGATATAAGAACTTTTTAACCCATGGCCTCAGATACCTGAAGTGCTATAGATTTGCTGCAACAAGTTCCTGAAACCGCTAAACATTTTCCAAAACCTTCATAATGTCTCCCGCATGTATTACTAATTTTAGAATAAATATAAATGTTCTTGTAATTAACGGAGAATAAATTCATTTACTATTATTAATGACTTGATGGCAGCTTTGTGATACTTCATGTTTATTGAACAAATATTTACTACCGATGTTGGATTTCAAGGCGGAGAATATTGGCTTGAAGAAAAAAAACAGGCTTTTTACTCAAGAAATTTAGTTAAATCACAGGTGACAAGGGCTAAAGGAGACTATACCAGTGATTGATAAAGAATAATGAATGTGTGCATTCTTTGGTTTCTTTCTACCTAATGGTGTTCACCCATATATTATGTCTAGTTTGGCAGCCTTGAACAGAAGCTGGCTTTGGCAGAACGGATTCGGGGCCATGTCCTGTCATTGGCACTGCAGATGTATGGCTGTCGTGTTATCCAGAAAGCTCTTGAATTTATCCCCTCAGACCAGCAGGTAATTGTAAGTTTCCCTTTAACTTTTCTCTTGGTGTTTGATGTCTCTCCATGGTATGTGTAGTGAGCCCTGTGAATTTGTCAGTCTGGTTTTCTTTGGTGCTTGTTGGCTGCTTTTCTGTGCATGGCAAGCATGAAATGTGTGGTTAGTTTTGTAAATACATAGTGGATTGGATGCCTTTCGTTAAACCAGTACTTTCAAATACTTCTGTTTGACAGAATTTAGTTTTTTTTAGTAGGTGCAATTCTATAGGTGGTTTTTGTTTGGCAAGAATTGGAGCAGGTTGGTGGTAGGTGCAGTGAGGCATATCCACATAGTAAGATCTGAAGTTCCACTCCCCAAACTTACATAGCATAAAAACAATGGGATATCAAGAATTGAAGCAAGTGAATGAAATACTAGTAAATTGTCATTTCTTTAACCTGAACTGACCATGCTAACAAACCAACGTTTTATCCAACCTATCTTCTGGTTTCCTTCACTTCCTCTCTTCAGTTCGTTCATTCCACCACCGTTCACCGAAGGCCTACCCCACAATGCAGTGCCTAGCCTGGCACATTGACCTTATTATGTCCACTCTGTGCCAGACAGCAACACAGAAATGAGAAGACTGAGCCCTGTCCACAGCACAGGGTGAGGAAGGGGGTGGATAGCAGTGGTGAGCATGTGCCCAAGTCTGTGAGGGGAGGCTTTGCAGGAGTAGGAGTTCAGGCTAAAGAGTTGGGAGGAAGGGACAGAAGTCTGAGCTGGTAGTGCTGTGAGTAGGAGTGGACACTGAGCTCACCTGAAGAAGTCCACGGCTTCAGGAGCAGTTGCGAAGCAGGTCCACCCAGGCCTACACAGGCTACAGGCCCAGGAAGCAAAGCCAGCCTATGGGCAGGTGTGCTGCAGCTGTGTTTGTACTGGGCACAGTGCTGCGAGCCTCGGGTCCTTCTGCTCCTGAACCTCAGCCTTTGGGCTCTGGGCTCGCTCACCCCTTCTCAGTGGAAGGCATGGCCACTGTCTGGCGATGATGAACTACTTGCCCTCACTGAGAACAAAGTTCGGTAATGAGAGTCTTTGTTACGTTCTGAGCCAGACGAGGCAGCTACCACCTCCACTGCAAAAGAAGACTACTTGGAAAGAACGCTGTGTGGGTGTTGGCAATGGAGTTGAAGGCTGGGGGAATCCAGAGTTCTTGAAGTTGTGGAGATCCAGGTGAAGGCAGAGGGGATGTTGGAGACACAGTAGGTTTGGAGTTCATTCACTTAGTACTGCTCAGTAGTGGAGATGGAGTGGTGATAAAGGAGTGTTCTGTATAAAGAATTGTAAGTAGGGGAATATAAAAATAAAATTCATTATTTAAAAAAAAAAGAATTGTAAGTAGGGGTGAAGCTACTACTCATAGTTTTCTTCTAATGTATATATCATCATTACTTTTCAATTTCCCTGGATAAAAATTTCCAGTATTCCTGTTTTTTTTGAATGTGGAAGTTTCTTCCTCCCTTTTGACCATCGTATCCACTTGTTGAAAAATAGCAGGTATATTACAATTTCCCAGCTGCTTTTCCCATCTTTGCCCTCTCCCAAGATTGCGATTGTTGATTTTGTCTCCTGTTTTCAGATTGTGCTGTTTTTGTTGTTTTTTTTTAATTGGATGACTATGTTGCACTACTTTTTCATCTCCTTTCCCCCAAACTGTTGTTCTTTCTACCCTGTTTTTCTGTGTATTTTCTGATCTGGTTTCTCTGATATCTTTTATGGGACTGACCTGCTCTTTCTGCTATGAATAATTGAGTCCTTTAAATGCAAGTTTATTATTTTAGATGAAATTGCCCATGATAGCATTTTTACCTCTTTGGTCTCAGGAAAACATTCAGGAAAGCCACTACCCCTTCAATTTCATTATAAGTGTTCCCTTCCTTTATTTTCATATAGGCCTCATTCTCAACTTATTCTTGTATTTATACTTCCAGAGCAAGTTATTCTTTACTGACACTGATTCATTGCTTTAAGAAACCTTCTTGAGTCTACTTCCCTTTCCCTTTTGCTTGTCCCTAGCATTGTAATCTTAAGTCTCTTGGTTGCTTTGACATAGTTGACATCTCTGGGCTTTGCGTTAAGGTAATGGATCCAGAAACTGGCTTGTCTTTTACCATAAATAGCGCCAACACAGGGGAACTACTTCACAGAGAATTGACGCTTTAAGGAAATTGACCAGCAGGAAACAGGGCCTGGTCATGGTGTAGGTACTTGACTCTCAAGTACCAAAGACCTGAGATAGTCTTGGGGAATGTGCTTCAGTCTTTCCATGCCTTTGTCCCTCCACCGTTACCCTGCATATGCCATAGTGTCTGTCCTTCTCCTTCAGCCCCTTTGGACTGCTCGCTCATTCATTGAGAACCACACTCACTGTTTCCTGGTCTAAAGATCATGTTGGAGTCCTAGACCTGGGCAAGAATTCTGATTCTTTCTTTTTATCTAAAGTCTTATATATGTTACTAAACCTTCTTAGACTCTATTCATATATATGGCTGGGGGGCCAGTGGTGCAGGACAGTGTGTAATTGACAGGTTGTTTATTGACAAATACTTTTCCCAAAAGTAGGACACAGATTGCTTGGGTTTGAATCATGGCAGTTTAGGTCTGATTTTATTAAGTCATTTAATTTGTTTGTGTCTTGGTTCCCTCATATATAATAGTGTTAAGTGCATAGAATTGTTACAAGAGTCAAACCGTGTTAAACATTTAGAGGCATTCCTAGCTTAGAGTAAACTGTACACTACTATCATGATTAATAATTGGAGCCTTACAGGGTTGTCATTATAAAGGCATGATGAATTATGCGTGAAATTCTCTAATAACAGTGTACTTAATCTAGGCGCCTTTCTATTTGAAGATGTCTGCATTTTTAAATGTTTCAGAGGCCTTTTGCAAGTTAGAGAAACTTTTGAGACTGGTTATGTTACCAGAAGTTTACTAACTTGTGTGAGGATCCCCCACTTGTCAACAGGTTGTCATAGTGCTATAGCTGAGTTGTCACTCTTTCATTACCCTAGATTCTCTGCTCCATGCTTTTGTGTTTGGTAAGGAGAACATTGATTATCCAAGTGTTTGCTTGCTGTGATTCTGGTGGTACTTTCTTTCCCTGTCTCCAATAGAATGAGATGGTTCGGGAACTGGATGGCCACGTCCTGAAGTGTGTAAAAGACCAGAACGGCAACCATGTGGTTCAGAAATGCATTGAATGTGTGCAGCCCCAGTCTTTGCAGTTTATCATCGATGCGTTTAAGGGACAGGTAAGTGACTTTGCAAATAAAAGGAAAGTACTTGATTGGTGTTTCCACTTCACGTGAGCAAAGAACCAGGTAGGGTAAGTGCAGTGTTCTTAAGTACTTGGTTGGTGTGTTTTAGATCGCATCAGTTGGCAAAGCTGTTTCAGTGGTATCAGGTTCCTAGCTCTGTCTGTGTCCCCAGGTCTCTCCCCTTAACTATCCATGTCTCCTCATGTTGGATTCAGATCAAATGAGAGTTGTTAAGGTTAAATCTCATACAGAGCATTTTAAAAAAATTTAAAATATCATTTATAGAACTAATCTTGTAGGTGATGTGTGAGTGTATCTTTTAAGTAATAAAGTGCTTCATTGTCAGTATGGTTTGAATCTAAAGTGGTCACATGACCACTTCTAATTTCACCTATGCACCTGTAGGTCATAAGAACCTGTATGGTCTAAGCAGAGTTGATAGTGTGGTTTTTCCAGAGTTGCCCTTTCATTGGCTGTCATTTTTTTTCTAGCAACTAAGGTTCTCTCATGTTCTGGACCTGGGTGGGAGAAAACGAGCACACATCCTCTTGGGTGTATGAAGTTGCTTTCTTGTTTTTAAGGAAATGGAAAAGAGAATGGGAACTACCACGATGATTTTTAGGTGTACTTTTTTTTTTTTTTTTTTAGAAAGAACAAGTTTACTGAGAAAGGAACAGAAATAAAGTCTAGGTACTCTTAATATGTACTGTTAAGCCTAAATCAAAGTGGGATTTTAGAGTTGTTTTTTAAGTTGGGGGTGTTCTCACGGCAGTGGTTAAGTAGGTTATTGGTAATGATTACTGAGATTTTCTGAACTAATGACAAAAAGGTAGATCTGTTGAAGATTTTATGTTTATCACTTTATTCAATATGGTAAGTAAAAGGATTAGGCCACCAAATGGGAGGGGGTATTTTCAAGGTGAAACTGCCAAAGAATTAATAACCAGAAAGATAAAGAATCTCTGTAATAAAAGAGAAAAAATACAATGTAAAAATGGGCCCAAAACATGAGTTATTTCACAGAAACAAATAAAAATTGCCAGTGGACATAAGAAAAATAATTTGTTAGTAATCAGGGAAATGCAAAATAAGTCCATAAATGGTAGGGCATTTTCTGTCCACCAGTTGCTGTGTGCTGGCAGGGTTGTGGGATCTGCTAAACCCTGGCAGGACTAGATGTTGGCACAGCCATTTTGGAAAGTTATTTAGTATCATCTTTCAAAGCTCAGCATTTACATTTCCTGTTATCTAGCCCTCCTGGGCGAGGTGTATGCCTGGGAAGACATTCGCCCATATACACCACAAGACATTAAAGCAGCATTTTTCTTCTAGTGGGAAAAGACTAAATATTCCAAATGTTCATCAGTAGAGGTTTGGACAAAACAATCCTCATAGACCTACATAACAGTATATAGCCACACCGAATAAGCTACAGAAACATGGTATTGAAAGTAAATATTTGAGGGCCTCCCCAGTGGCGCAGCGGTTGAGCGCTGGGTTGCGAGGCTGCCCGCGGCCTCTGTGGCGCCGGTTCGATCCCCGGCTGCTCCCCGGCCACCGGAGGAGGGTCCCACATGGTGTGCAGACCTCTCCTGCCGCCCGCTGCTTCCCTCAGCAGTGTACTTCAGTCCTTCTGCCTGCTCTGCTCCCCGCTCTGGCTCTGGTGAATTCTCTCACCCTCCCGCACTTCTGACTGTACCCAGTGCATGTGTAAACAAAACAAACAAATAAATAAATAGATAAAAACATGCCTCTATTTAAAAAAAAGAAAGAAAGTAAATATTTGAATCGTATTGTTGAGTAAAATAAATCAAGTTCTTTCAGACCGTGGGCTTTTTAAGCATATTTCATAAATGTAAAATTGAACATTATCATGAAGTATGTTGTTTTACATTTTCACACATAAAGCTACATAATATATTTAAAATTATATCTAAAGCACTTGGTGTAGTTGCTCACACTTGGTGGTAAACATTCAGTAAGAGTTATTGTTAATTGTTCTTATATTGTCACTGTTATCCATAATAGACCTGAGGTACAAGCCATCCCATGTCACTCAGATGGGAAGAGCAAAATTGTGATAGGGTGGTCTGATTCTTTACTTTTGCGTAGAAGAACTGGGGTATAGGCCGGAGGTGGGGGTGTGTGTGAGAGGATTCACCAGAGACAGACTTGGGAGTAGAACAGGTGATGTACTGAGGTACACTGCTGAGGGAAGCAGCAGGAGAGACAGGAGAGGTGTGCTGTACCATGTGGGTCACCTCCCTGGCAGCGGGATTAAAGTTAGGTGTTGTGGTGGGAGTGCTGAGACTTAACCCCTTGGCTACCTACTGGGGAGGCACCCTGGGTGGTCTGATTCTAAAGGCCTTGTGCTCATCCATTGTTCCAGACCAGCAAGGACGAAATTTTTCTTATTGCTCGAAAACCCCCAAGTAAATTTAGAATATTGCAGTGTGGTTATGTGAAAGCATTCAGGATTTGATCCCAGACCTTTCTTTCTCAGAGGAACTGTTGATTGACACTGGCTTTTACCTGAGTTTGTTTTTCATGGCCACGACTAATTCTGTTTCTGTTTAGGCGTCTTGGAAATGTCCTTTTCAACTCTGAATTTATGCATATCTGTGAATTCCTAGAATAGTAAAAAATGAGTTTATATACATATACACCTTATTATCTGTAGAAAGAACTGAAATGCCATATTTATAATTTGAACTTTGAGTCAGACTAGATGTTTAAAGCCTGGCTCTGTCATTTTACTATCTGTTTGACTATAGGTACATTATGTAAACTTCCAGGAAGTTCAGTTTTCTCATATGTATGCTGAAAATAACTATGACTGTCTTTCAGGGTCACTGTGAATATTAATGGAATAATGTACACAAAATAATACTCTAGTATTGAAAGTGGCAACTGTCATTTTTGGCTTTCTTATTTGTCTGCCCTAGGTATTTGCTTTGTCCACGCATCCTTATGGCTGCCGAGTGATTCAGAGGATCCTTGAGCACTGTCTCCCTGACCAGACACTCCCTATTTTAGAGGAGCTTCACCAGCACACAGAGCAACTTGTACAGGTAGTGGAGTTGCCAGTAGAGTAACTGCAGACACCTGTGGGCCCTTTCAGGCCCTGAGCTTGTGTGTTTTCTCAGCACAGGTATTCATTCCAGAAGAGGTTAATGTGTGAATGTGTTTATTAAGCTCCTAGAATATTTTTGAGAAGTTTTTGTTTCCACCAACCTGGTTTGTGTTTTATGATTTTCCATAATGAGTAGAACCCTGGGCCTAGAGTCGGGAGATCTACCTCCCACACCTCTGTTGTGGACTAGCTGCTACCTTTGTCATCTTAGGCATCTCACTGCGGCTGAATTTTATCATGTCAATTGGGCTAGTTGTGAATTTGTTGATTTCCAGAGCTTTGATATTTTGTCTTCCACCACTAAAAATGTCCCCCATGTCAGACTAACTATTTGAATACCTTCTACTGTAGCATGTTGGACTGAAGCAATTTTTGTGCTAGTGTTTGTTGTTTGATTTGTCAGGAGGTGTGAGATTATAGAAAAAATGGAAAGTTTAGAAAGTAGCAACAGAACAAATCATCCATAATCCTATTTCTAGAAGCAAACACATAGGACATTGGCACTTTTTTTTTTCTTAAAGTATTATTTTTGTAGGCTGTTAATTTTTATTTGTTTAAATATTTGTGCCTCTCATTTATACACATTCTCTCAAAATATTTTCAATTTACATGAATGAGTTATGTTTGTATTGATGTTTAACTAGATGTTGTCACTATTGTCAGATGTAAACATTGTTTAAAGTTTTGTTACAGATAAGTATAGTGAACCATTTGTACATTTCTCTTGGAGAGAAAAATAGCTTTTTCCCACCTATTCCACTACTTTCCCATCTTTGTTTTGTTTTTTAAATAGGAAGTCTGGGGTTATGTATGTGGTTCAGACATTAATAGAGAAATATTCCATTGTCTGGTGATAATCTTGTTTTGTAACGATAAGAGAAAAGTTATCACTCCTATCCCTTTTTTCAAATTCTTATGTGTTCATTAATATTCCAGTAAGCAATCGTGGTGCTACAGGAGGATGGGTATTGATCAGATGTAAGGATTTAGGTAACCCGCAGAACTCATTGTTACATCAATTTTATTTCTGTTGCTTCTCAAACAGGATCAATATGGAAATTATGTGATCCAACATGTATTGGAGCATGGTCGTCCAGAGGATAAAAGTAAAATTGTAGCAGAAATCCGAGGCAATGTACTTGTATTAAGTCAGCACAAATTTGCAAGGTAAGTGCTTTGAATTGTACAGACACTTTGAAATCTGGGGACTGTGTTTCTACTTTGTACTTAGGTAAAATGTACATTTCATTAACTTATTTGTTTGAAATTATGAAATTCATTTTCCTCTTTGGCACCTGAATTAAGAGGTAGTTTACCATATATATGTTTAGGACTTACTATTCTTAGAATTTCTTTTCCATTCTTCCTATTATGCCAGTTTAAGAGCAAAATGCAACAGTTTTTTTCAGGTGGTGAAAGGGTGTTTTAGCTAAACTTACAAGCAGCAGAGTTGGGAGGTGAAATTGATAGCAGGTTAGTGTTACAACCCAGCCAAGCAGTGTGAAGAGTAATGGGTTCTTTGCCAACATGTGGATATCATGACTGGCTTCATGCTCTCTGAACCAGATCAGTCATATCTTACCTTTCCCTTTCTCCAAGTGGCTAATCAGAAATCACTTCCAAGTCCCACGCCTGTGAGACTTCAGCCTATGCTAAAATTGCAGAGTAGTAGAGAAGGAAGGTAGCTCTCCCCTATGATGATGTCAGAGGAATGGTTGCTCTATAGAGGAGACTTGATGGACTTGCTCACGTGATTTGATGTATTCTGTACATTTTAGGAAGAAAGATTAAAGAAATGTCTGGTAGGGTGGAAGTTCTTGAACATGTTAGCTTGAGAATTTTGTTTTCTATATTCAAGCATATGTATGAACCCAATATACAAAACCAGGTGACCCTTCCAAGCCCCAGGAACCAACATCCTCTTACGGTTAAAAACCTCTGAAGTAGAGGGATCAGACGGAGGGAGGGAGGAGCACAGGGGAAACGAACAATGATGTAAAAAATAAAAAAAAATTTATTAAAAAATTTTAAAAATTAAAAAAAAAACTCTGAAATAGGGAATGATTCTGGATACGGCTATTAGACATGAGTGTTAAATAATGCTGGCCTTTGGAAGATAGGTCGGCAAGAGAGCTTAACAATTTTGGAAGTTAACAGAGCTATTCACCAGCATGGTAGGTTGCCCTAGAAAGTAATTACTTTTAAATCGTTGGAAATTCCCACGCAAAGGCAAAATGGCCATCTTACTGGATTGTTGGAAAAGAATTTTTTCCATTAGCTAGTTCCTTTTCTACTTGAGTGTTCTTTGATCCACAGCAATTCTCTTTACAAAGCCTTCAGTTGCTCGCCCACCAAATGGTCTCAGCCAGTTTTTTACTCCGGTAATACAGATAAAACAATGTGTGTCATGTAACTTCCTCATTCACACCGAACCACAGATAGAAGGTAGTGTTGACTTGTAAAACCAAACATTAACGTTTAATCAATCATCCTGGATGGTAAAACACCTGTGAGTGTGATTTAACCAGCCCCACAGTACCTCAGGATTGTAAAAAAAAACCTCTGATTTAATGGAACCACTTTCCCAACGTGATATAATCGTGAAGTATTTAGACATGTGGACAGACCTGTGAGACCCTTTCTGATCTTAGGCTCTTCAGAAGCAGCATAAAGTAGTTAACCAAATACTTAGTTCCTACTTGTGTATCCTTCACTTGGTAAGTGGGCAGGGCTCTGTGCTTGGGATGTAAGCTTGTTTGGGGCGTCAGTAAGCCCACAGAGGTGAAGAAAGAACTCCTAGGTTTTGATACATGTTGAAATGCTCCTTAACCACTTTGGCCCCTCTGCAGTCATGTGACTCTTGTTTAAGCCCTTCACCTGCCTGAGCTTCTTGCCCTTCCCAGTTAGACGACTGGGTCTGGTGTCCTGCAGGACCTGGTCTCAGCCGTGGTTCACATTAGAAGCCCCAGATAGTGAGGTTGGAGCATCTCATAGAGCCACACAGTTGATGGTTTCATCTTCCAAAAAACGTTAGCTCTCTTGCTGCTATCCCTGAGGTCAGGGTAGAGACCAGACAAACTCAGCTTAAGGGTTGTCCTTGGATTTGTTTCATTTATAGCAACGTCGTGGAAAAATGTGTCACACATGCCTCCCGTACGGAGCGTGCTGTGCTTATTGATGAGGTGTGTACCATGAATGACGGTCCCCACAGTGCCTTATACACCATGATGAAGGACCAGTATGCCAACTACGTAGTCCAGAAGATGATTGATGTGGCAGAGCCTGCCCAGCGGAAGATCGTCATGCATAAGGTAAGCCAGGTTGGGCAGGCGCTTGATCAGAGAAGGTGTGTAGGCCTTGGTTCTTCATACTTCTGAAAGGCAGAAGAGAATGGATATCTGTCTTTTTGAGGAGTTTGTCATTGACTGGACTATGTCTCATGATGTAGACCCTTTTCCTTTTGCTGGAGTGGACACATCCCCATGTTTCCCTCCACTCTTCTGTAGTAACTCACCAGTGATCTTCAGGCTGTACTTCCTGCCCTCTGCTCTAGAGACCAGTTTATCAATCCAGCAAACCAACCTACTTGTCTTCTTTTTCTCCCACCATCTCATATTCATTCCACCACCGTTCACCAAAGGGCTACCCCACAATGCAGTGCCTAGCCTGGCACACTGACCTTATTATGTCCACTCTGTGTCAGACAGCAGCACAGAAATGAAAAGACTGAGCCCTGTCCACAGCACAGGGTGAGGAAGGGGGTGGATAGCAGTGGTGAGCATGTGCCCAAGTCTGTGAGGGGAGGCTTTGCAGGAGTAGGAGTTCAGGCTAAAGAGTTGGGAGGAAGGGACAGAAGTCTGAGCTGGTAGTGCTGTGAGTAGGAGTGGACACTGAGCTCACCTGAAGAAGTCCACGGCTTCAGGAGCAGTTGCGAAGCAGGTCCACCCAGGCCTACACAGGCTACAGGCCCAGGAAGCAAAGCCAGCCTATGGGCAGATGTGCTGCAGCTGTGTTTGTACTGGGCACAGTGCTGCGAGCCTCGGGTCCTTCTGCTCCTGAACCTCAGCCTTTGGGCTCTGGGCTCGCTCACCCCTTCTCAGTGGAAGGCATGGCCACTGTCTGGCGATGATGAACTACTTGCCCTCACTGAGAACAAAGTTCGGTAATGAGAGTCTTTGTTACGTTCTGAGCCAGACGAGGCAGCTACCACCTCCACTGCAAAAGAAGACTACTTGGAAAGAACGCTGTGTGGGTGTTGGCAATGGAGTTGAAGGCTGGGGGAATCCAGAGTTCTTGAAGTTGTGGAGATCCAGGTGAAGGCAGAGGGGAGAGGAGATAAGAGCGGGTGTTTGAAGAAGTAAAGCAAATTAGTAAGGCAGAACTTTGATGTCAAAATCCCATTTGCATTTCTAATCATTTCCTGGCTAATGAAGAGGCGATCTGATGGGGACTGTTAAAATAGTTCAGCTAAGAGATGGTGGTGGCTTTGGGATTGAAGAAAAATGGACAGACTAGGTTTTCACAGTTGGTTGAGGGAACTGAGAGAGGAAAAATCTTCCCAAGAATATAGAACACTAAAATCGTTCAGCTTTCCCACCAGAAAATGTTAGCCACGAGTGTTACACAGTTTTCGCCACAGCCTAGCTGATGGAGCCCTGTTGCATCCCTTTTTGCGGATGGGTTTAGGGAGGCCAGACAACATGGCTGCGTCACAGGGCTCAGCTGCAGCCGAGGACTGCCAATAGTTGTCTCTTGGGTAAGGCTGTAGGGGGCAACATTGGTCTTTGTCCTTTCTTTTTGAGATGCAGAAGTGGTTTCTAGAGGTAGTTGATGCTTCATTGCTTTGAGGACACAGGCAAGTGTTGTTCATGTGGCGCTCTCTAGAGAGTGGCCCCTCTGGAGGGATGTGCCCAGTGTGTGTGAGTGTGCAGCCGTTGTCCTTTGGTGTCCGTGTGGAGTGAATGTGGGTTAAACACATGTGTGCTGCATACTCTCACTGGCCAGAGAGCTCTGAACTCACAGGAGAGGAGAGCTGGTTCCAGAGAGGAAGCACCTCTCACTGTTGGGGTACACGGGCCACCTCTAAGTGAAGGAGAGAACAGAAGAGAATGCTCAGAGAGCTGACCTAAACTTGGGTTGAAAAGGGTGCAGGATGGGTCTGGGGCAGGAAGAGGTGCTGTGAGAGTACAGTGGGTGCTGTGAGAATACAAGTAGATAACTTGGGCAGGAGCCAGATAGTTGGTCTCCAAACCCTGGCTCTCCCTTGTTAGTTATTTGACTTTGGATGAGTTACTTAACTGTCCTTTCTTCATTTGGGAGATGCTTTATGAACCTTGTAGGAACATTGGCCTGCTTGTGTCAGTCATTTTTATTGTCGCCACTGGCCTCGCGTGAGCTCTGTGAAGTGGAAGACAGGGCCAGAAAGAAACCTCCCACTGATCAGGAGCGCAGAGGTGCCGTGTGCAGTGCCAGGGAATGACTGTGCTCTGGGCAGGTGCTGTGATGGTCCGTGAGGATGTACTTTCTCCACGCTCTGTCTGCTTGCTGTCCTCACATTGGCTTGTGGTTGTCCAGCCTTCACAACCCTCTCATCCGATGTCAGCATTCAGGATAGGAGCTGCTCTCCTCTGATGGCTCATAGAGTTCTAGAACTTGGGCACCTTGGCTGATCTGTTTCAGGCATCTCTGTGGGATGTGCAGGTGTCTGGCAGGGTACCTGGAGCTTGCCCAAGTGTATATCCAGGTCATTGTAACGCAGACTGTGCTTCCTCTCCAGATCCGGCCCCACATCGCGACTCTTCGCAAGTACACCTACGGCAAGCACATTCTGGCCAAGCTGGAGAAATACTACATGAAGAATGGCGTTGACTTAGGGCCCATCTGTGGCCCCCCTAATGGTATTATCTGAGGCAGTGTCACCCCGTCCCCTCATGCCCACTGACCTCACTGGCCCATTGGTGAATCCAGCCAGCAACCAGAAATATTCTAGTATAGAATCTGAAATGGGTAAATGGTTGCTCCAGGATACCCTCACCTCCAAAAAAAGGAATCAAATCCACAAGTGGAAAAGCCTTTGTAAATTTGTTTAATTTTATTACGCATAACATGTACTAATTATTTTTTTTAATTGACTAATTGCCCTGTTGTTTTACTGGTGTATAGGATACTTGTACATAGGTAACCAGTGTACATGGGAGGCCACATATTTTGTTCAATGTTGTATCTATATTCCACGTGCGGAAACTTTCAGGGTGGTTGGTTCAACAAAAAGTTTAAAAAAAGTTTTTAACTCATTTGCCTTAATGGCAACTTTTGCAAATAGCTCTTCCCCACCTCCTCATTTTAGTAAAAAACAAAAACAAACAAAAAAACCTGAGGAAAGTTTGAATTTTAGTTAAATGACTCCAAACTGGCATTTAACACTGTTTATAAAAAGTATATATATATATACACACACACACACATGCACACACACATATATAAAATAAAAATTGTTTCAGAGTTGCTAAAGCTTCAGTTTATATCACTAAGTTTATGAAACTTCTCAAAATTGCCTTTTTTGGAGACTATTATGCTGGGGAAGGTCGTGAGTTTGTTTTGTGAGGAGATGTGAGCGCCCAGAATGTCTTTCAAGGCCAGGCGGGTGTAATTGTTTACTGCCTACTGGATTTTTTTCTGTTGATATTGAAAGGTAAAATCTGATTATTTAGCATGAGAAAAAAAATCCAACTCTGCTTTTGGTCTTGCTTCTATAAATATATAGTGTATACTTGGTGTAGACTTTGCATATATACAAATTTGTAGTATTTTCTTGTTTTGATGTCTAATCTGTATCTATAATGTACCCTAGTAGTCGGACATACTTTTGATTGTACAATTGTACATTTGTATACCTGTAATGTAAATGTGGAGAAGTTTGAATCAACATAAACACGTTTTTTGGTAAGAAAAGAGAATTAGCCAGCCCTGTGCATTCAGTGTATATTCACACCTTTTATGGTCGTAGCATATAGTGTTGTATATTGTAAATTGTAATTTCAACCAGAAGTAAATTTTTTTCTTTTGAAGGAATAAATGTTCTTTATACAGCCTAGTTAAAATTTAAAAAGAAAAAAATAGCTTGTTTTTATTTGTCACCTAGTCAAACAGTAGCGAGATCCTTTCTAAATGTTATTCAAGATGATTCAGTTCACACTAGTGTTTTTTTATCCTAAACAAGTAATGTTTTGCTTATTTTGTGACAGTCAAAAGGACGTGCAAAGTTCAGCCCTGCCCTAGCTTTCCTTACAATCAGAGCCCCTCTCACCTTGTAAAGTGTGAATTGCCCTTCCTTTTTGTACAGAAGATGAACTGTATTTTGCATTTTGTCTACTTGTAAGTGAATGTAACATACTGTCAATTTTCCTCGTTTGAATATAGAATTGTAACACTACACGTGTACATTTCCAGAGCCTTGTGTATATTTCCAATGAACTTTTTTGCAAGCACACTTGTAACCATATGTGTATAATTAACAAACCTGTGTATGCTTATGCCTGGGCAACTATTTTTTGTAACTCTTGTGTAGATTGTCTCTAAACAATGTGTGATCTTTATTTTGAAAAATACAGAACTTTGGAATCTGAATTTGTGCTTTAACGCCTCCCAGTGTGTCCTCCACCCTGCCCCTCAGTGTCCCAGGACAGCCCTTTTCCTGATTTGTGCCGTTTCCTCTCTGCCTGATTTTGGAGTAGTGTGAGCAGGAAGGAATTGGAATAGGACCAGTGTGTTAGACTGATGACTCTTTTTTTCCTGTTTTTAAAAGATTGATTTATTTATGCATACAAGAGCTGGGGTACAGGCCAAAAGTGCAGGGGGTGAGAGGATTCACCAGAGACAGAGTGGGGAACAGAACAGGCAGACTGACTGAAATACACTGCTGACGGGAGCAGCGGGCGAGACGGGAGAGGTCTGCTGTGCCATGTGGGTCAGCTCCCTGGCCGACCGGGCATCAAGCTCATGCTGCAGTGGCTGGCAATAGCTTGATAGTGTGGTCTTGAACCCCATTGCCACCAGGGAGGCCCTACATGGATGACTCTTGAGCCCAGTTTGACCCAGAGGTGTAAGGTTTAGCCTGTCCAATGCTTTCAAAACCGAGGCACTCCATACTAATCCACGTTTCCAGCTTCTATTAAAAATCAGAATATTCACTATCTTGGACCCCGGGGTTGCACCCCAAAGCAGGGGTAGCATCCTAAAGCAGCACTCTGCCCTTGGACCTGTTCTCTCCCTGTGTTCACTCTTACTGCTCTGCAGCATTTGTGAGCCCAAGGTCTAGGTTGGAATCTAGTCAACTGTGACTCCCAATTGAGTGCACTGTTACTTCTGAGGGGCATCTTGTTTCTGAGGTGGGCGTTGGTTAAGGCATCGCTTGCTTGGGCCGCTGCCTTTCCTCAGCTCCTGTCCTCACAGGCTGCCCCACTGTCCTCACTTGCTCATCTTCAGATCAGGCACCTCTTCCAGCTTTTGGGACCAGAGGGTGTAGCTCACTCAAGTCCCTATTACCTATGCCCAAAGATACCCACTTCCGGGCCTCCCCAGTGGCGCAGCGGTTGAGCGCTGGGTTGCGGGCCTGCCCGCGGCCTCTGCGGCGCCGGTTCGATCCCCGGCTGCTCCCCGGCCACCGGAGGAGGGTCCCGCATGGCGCGCGGACCTCTCCTGCCGCCCGCTGCTCCCCTCAGCAGTGTACTTCGGTCCTTCTGCCTGCTCTGCTCCCCGCTCTGGCTCTGGTGAATTCTCTCACCCTCCCGCGCTTCTGACTGTACCCAGTGCATGTATAAACAAAAATGAACAAATAAATAAATAAATAACATGCCTCTATTTAAAAAAAAAAAAAAAGAAAGATACCCACTTCCCCTTCACCATCTTTGCTCCAGAAGCAGCATTGGCAAGAACAGCCCCCGAAACTTGGGTCAGTGTTGGCCATTGCCGTATGGGCAGCCAGGGTGGCTGGGCCAGAGACACTAGCTCCTGGTTGGAACCTCAGTGTAGGTGCAGAAGACACTTGGCATGGACCCCTCCCAAGCGTAAGGGATGTCCACTAGCAAGGCCTGCAAGGTTTGAGTGAAGGGAAGAAAAGGAAGCTGAGCTGATGGAAGTTTCCTGTCCGACACCTGGTTTGCCTTCCATAGATGTAGCCAAACCCTCCCTCGACATCCTGTTCCCTGTGCTGTTCTGGGTCCTGTGGATGGGCTCAAATGTGGGTCCCCTTACTCGCTATGTGCCCTTAGTGGTTGGTTCCCTCACTGGCAATTGATTGAAGGTGGTCATGCAGATGTGAAGTGGTTCTCAGAGCCAGTCAGGGCAAGCATGGGCTACGGGCAACACGCAAGGTGGGAGACCTGGCTTGCCCGCCCACCTGTCTGTCTGCCGTCTTTGTGACTGGGAAAGTAATTTAGCTGCTTGAGTCCGTTTTCTTCCTCATACGATTGGAGTAATACCTCAGAGACCTGTAGACTGGGTAGGTAATAAACATGGCGGGTGCCTGGCACACACCACTCTTGGTTTTCTTTCCCATCCAGACTTTTTCTAATTCCTGTGCTTAGAGTCTTTTTCTCCTATTACTCTCAGCACTTAGTGTAGAATGTTTTGCTTTTGTCTGTTTTACTTGGTAACAAAATATGCTGTGTCAGAAATGTGATTATCCCCTCCTCCACCTTTTTGTTTTTAAAGGTTTATTTATTTATACAAGAACTGGGGCACAGGCCAGATGCGCGGTAGGGTGAGAGGATTCACCAGAGACAGAGCGGGGAACAGAACAGGCAGACTGACTGAAATACACTGCTAAGGAGAGCAGCGGGCGCGGCAGGAGAGGTCTGCTGCGCCATGTGGGATTCTCACCAGCTGACCGGGATGGAACCTGCGCTGCAGAGGCTGCAGACAGCTTCACAGCACGGCGCTCAACCGCCTCGCCACCAGGGGAGGCCCCCCTCCTCCACCTTTGCTTTTCTCAAGCTCGTGTCTCCAAGGGCTGGGGAGTCTTTTCGGTCACAAGGGGTTTGAGTCCAGCTGTCATTTTATTACATGGGTGATCTCTCTGAGGCCAAGTTTCCTTCTCTGTGAAATAAGGGAAATACCATGTTGTGAGGACTAAATTGAGCTTAGCGTGTGGCTGGCACCTGGGTACATTAATGGCAACGATCATTCTCCCCTTGAACACCACTCATTTAATATCTGTACACAGGTTTCGGCAAGCAAAAGTCATTGTTATATAAAGAAGTTTACATAAAGTCATTTATTGTGAACTGCCAGGCACCCAAGGAATAGATGTGACATGGTTTCTCACACCAGCCGGTGAGGAGTGATTAACGCTTTCCCTGGCTGCATGAGACTGGGTGGGGCTGGGGATGACACCTCTGCCCTCTGCAGGATTGAACTCGGCTGGTCCACTTCATTTGCCCAGCTGCTTTTGCCCGCTGCTACCAAGTGCCCCAAGGGTGTGGTGTCTTGGGCTATACAGATCAAACGCCTGCCTTCTTGGTCTTAAGAGTTCCTCCAAGATGAATGCCTCCCACATTTCATCTAACCCAGTACCTGCCCGCCTGCTCTACAGCTCAGCCTTGGGTTTCAGAAGGGCCAGGCCGGGGAGACGGAAACCACCTTGGGAGTAGTTACCAGCAGCCACCACATGAGGGCGCTGCTGCCTCGAGAAAGTGTCACAGAGGCTCCAGGCTCCAAGAGCAGGACCAGGTGGATGATTTCCCCTGGCTTGTGGGGCTCAAGAGCCTGGCACTTGCCCTAAGACTAAGCACCTCTTCCCTCCCGACCCCCTTCTCAGCATCTTTGGGCATAGGGCTAGTCATTCTTATTTGGGATTTTTGAGGGTGGCCACACATTTGCCTCACAGGCCGCCTTGTGCCGGCTTCACTGTTACCTGTGGCAAATCACTGACTTCTCTGAGCCTCAGTTTCCCTTACTGTCCAGGCTGCCACCCTTATCAGGCTGGTATGAGGTCTGTTACGAGAACAGAGAAAGAAAAACAAGAGGCTGCCACGGAAGTTATTCTTATTGAGCAGCAGCAAGACTTAACTGCAGTGCCAGGCCCTCCCCAGGGTGCACATTTAAACTAATCACCCACAGTTCCTGGTCCTCAGCGAGGTGATCCACACCCGAGGGCTAAGAGAGGGCGACTTTGCTGAAATCACCTTCCTCCTTTTTGTTTGCCCTTTTGTCTAAAATCCCTGCATTCCGTGCACCCCTCACCGCCCTTCCTACTTCCAGATGAGACTCCGCTCAACTCCCAATGGT